TCCGTCCCGGGGAGGGCCTGCCCCGCGGGGACGCCGGGTGGGAAACCCTGGGCCGGGAAGTCGTCACCGGCGGCTCGTCACGACAGGTGTCGGCTTCCTTTCTTTCGGGGGCCCCATCCTTCCGAGCCAGGGAGCCGGCTTTCCCCGCGGGTCCTGGGCTGCCCCGGGGCGGCCGTGCGGTCCGCGGGGCTGGGCCGGGCCGGGCCTGCTCCGGTCCTCCGAGGACCACGAGCTGCAGAGAAGATGCTGTTGGTGGCGTGTAGAGAAACTCTTTCCCCGCCTGCAATCAGTGATCCAGCGGGTTGGGTTTGAAACCTTCCTCAGGATGGATAACTTGTTTCACAAGAGTTTCATGTTGCGAAAGGGTTGCTGGTGGGAAGCTCTTATTTGAGTAGGAGAAAAGAGAGGTTTTGATTTGTTACATACCTGTAAGGGATCGTTTATCTGTTTTAAAAGAGTCACGCACATGGCCGTCAAATAAAGCGACCAGAGACTGAAGGGGCCACAGCATAAATCTCAACAAATTGTTCGATGGATGCTCTTCTCTGTTTGGCGCTGGGTAGGCCGATTTTCACGTGCGGGGAGGAAGGACCCCGCCGCGTCGTCAGCACTGGTCTTGATGCTTGTGATCTGTGAAACTTGGACGGGAGAAATTTAGTGGATTGGCTAAGGAGCTTGGATAAAGAGAACCCTGTGTGTACATATTTTTGTTGCTAATTTTCAGGAGCTTTGTTATAAGACCGAATGTTTCAAAATGGGAGATTAAACGTTTTTCACACCATTCCTTGAGGATTGTGCAATGTCTGTTTCGACAATATGGATTGTTACCTGTTTTAGATAGATTTCAGTGAAGGTAACTTACTAAGCCGTGGGATCAAAAGAAGCTGGGCAATAGCCTAAGGAAAATCTATTTACATGAAAGACGTCACTCTCAACTACCAGTGTGTTTGTCGACTTAAAGATGCTTCAGGAATATATTTACCCGTATAAAGTTATATGTTCTTAGCAAGTGAAGGCTCTTGAATTAAAGTTCTTCAGGCATATTTCAAGAGTATGTTGTTAATCTCATCACAGACCTTTCTGGGAATGTTTAATATACCGTTTTCCAGCCCACTCCCTCCCCCTTCACCACATACATTTAATCCTGGCTAGGTCCTGGGTCTGGAGAACCAGGGAACCAGCTCTGGCTCTAAGGAAGCTGTGCAGGTAGATACCTGCCTACAAAGGGACCTGCAAGCGCTTCCCCTTGGAATGTTGGCTTCCCCATGTTTAGAGTTGTCACTGTGAGTGTCCTTTTATTAAGTAAAAATGTAAACTCAACAAGTTTGTTTACTGATATACCCCCCAGTACCTAAGACAGTGCCTGACTGGTGCACAATAGGTGCTCAGTAAATATTTGAATAAATTGAGTTCTTTGAGCATCTAAGATGTATATAGTGCTGTTTACCTAAACAGTTTTTCTGTAACTCTTAGGCTTTGCAGGTCACATATGGTCTCACATATTCTTGTTTAGGTGTGTTTTCCCAACCATCTGAAAATAGAAAAACCATTTTTAGCTACTGGTGCAGGTTGAATTTGGCTCAAGAGCCAGAGTTTTGCCAATCCCTCACTTAAACTCTAATATTAAATGGCCACTAACTGCTTTTTTGTTTTGATTTTTTTTTTTTTTTTTTTAATTCTGTTGCCTGCTTCTGTCATTTTTGTTATCACTTCAATTGCTGACTGCTCTTGGTGAGGTCACTGTGCCATCTGAATTGGTACATTTCTGCAAAGTAAACTGAGAATGGTAACCAAACTTGTTGGGATTATATTTAAAATTAGTGGAAATACTGAAAAGATGCTGAGCATTGACTTTATGACACATCTGTTATGCCCTTTTGTGATTGCTAGTTCTTAGCCATTTGGGGGATATTTGAGGGTTAGTAACCAAATTCCACGTAAGGGGCTTTGGGAAGTGGTAATAATACAGACTTGAAGCCTCTGCCTGGGTTTGGAGCCCCGCTTTGCCATTTACTACCTGTGTGATCTGGGTAAGTTCCTTACTGTCTTTGTGTTCCAGTTTCCTCCTCCGTGGTGTGAGGATAACGCAGAGCCTGCCTCAGAGTCACGCGTGCTTACAATGCTGCCCACACCTTGTGTTGTAGAACTGCTGGCCTTTGTTATTCGGGTGCATGTGTTTGCCGAACCTCATAAGGGGTGGGACCTTATTAGCCCTCTGATGAGGTGAAGTGCTGCTTGGGTGATCATGTGGCGCCAGTTGGTCAATTTCAGAGCACACCCAAGTCAGTAGAGTGTCTGGGAATCTGAGCTAGTTTGGGGTTGGTCCTGGAGACCCTGAGGGCAGTGAGGGAATGGTTTGGTGCTGTTCCCTTTTGTGGTTTTAGAAGATAGCTTGGTGAAACTGGAGATGCAGTTTCCTCATCTTCTGATCCCTAGACTATAAAGTTTGGGCCCAAAATGGAATTTCAATACCTCTGAACTTTGACTTTAGCAGAGTGAACTTCTCTTCAGCTTTAGTTAAAGCTTGAAAAGGAAGAAGTGGCTGGGGATCGTTTATGAGGAGAGGGGGATGCCTAATCTTAAGAGGGGCCAATTGGACAATTTTTTCGGTCTATGTAGAATTTGATTCATCTTGTGACTTTAAAAAAGTGATTTTAAATTTGGACTGGACTGTGTGTTCCTTCCTTCCATTAAATCGTAGGAGAAGTACAGAATGATATTATTTCCTACAGCGATACAGTTTTACTTAGACAAGGTTTGATTTCAAGTGCTTATTTTTCATTTTTTTATATGAAATACTTGGATGTCACTATTTCTATATATAGTATTAAATATGGTAACCATAGTTTGAGAGCCCCAGACTGAGACATGTAGCTTGACAGCAGGACAGAAAGCTTGCATTAGGACTGTTCCCAGAACCTTTATTGTCTGGTCACCATATTAGGTAGCTCTTGCTGTGTGCAATAGCTGTATCTTGGCAGAGGCTTTTTGTTGTTGTTAGAATTTTTTAATTAAATGGAACTCATGTAGGGGCACACAATCATAAGAGTGCAACTCAGTGAATTCTCACTAGGTAAACGTGTAAACAAACCGAGATTGAATAACATCTGCGTTTCCCTGCATTCTCTAAGTCCCCTTATTCCCTCTCCCACCCCTGCCTCCACCCCCTGCAAGGATAACCACTGTCCTGAATTCTGACATCATAGCATCATAGACTAGTTTTGCCTGTTTTTGAACTTTTGTAAATGGAATCATGTAGTGTGTACTCTTTTGAATCTGTCTTTTGTTTAACATTGTCGGAGAGATTCATCTATATTGTTACAGATAGTTGTAGTTAATTCATTCTCATTGTTTATGTACCATTCCTTTGTGAATGTAATACAATGAATGAATCCATTTTACTGTGATGGGGTTTCCAGTTTGGGGGCGATTATGAATAAGTAGTGCTTTTTTGAACATTCTTATATGTGTTTTTTGATGAACATAGTGTTTGCATTTCTTTTGTTTGCATTCTGTACCTAGTAGTGGAATTGCTAGATCATAGGGTATGTATATGTTCAGCTTTAGTAGGTACTGCAAATAGTTTTCCAAAGTTATAATAATTTACACTGTCACTAGTAGCAAATAATAGTTTCATTGTCTCTAGTCCGGTCCAACATTTTAGCCATTTGGGAGTGTGTGTAGTAAGTAGTAACACATTGTGGTTTTAATAGACATTTCCCTAATGGTAAAGAAGTTGAGCGCCTTTTTGTGTTTGTTAGCCATTTGGCTCTCCTCTGGGAATGCTGTTTGCCTTCTCATTTTCAGCAGAATCTAAGTAGGACATCTATATACCCTTCAGTTTGCATTGCAGTAGTCAGTGGGAGTTGCTCTCTGGTGGTAGGAATACAGTAGAAGGGAAAGGAGGTGGAGACAAGTCCTCTCTCAGGTTATGAAGATAAACATGTCTCAGCCCCCATCTCAGACCCAGACTGTCTCAATGCTGCCTTCCTATTCCATTTTATATGTGTTTTTATATCTTTTTTTAATCCCCACCCAAGGATATGTTTATTGATTTCTTTTTTAAAGGGAGGAAGGGAGAGAGAGATAAAGAGAAACATCAGTGTGAGAGAGAAACATTGATTGGTTGCCTCCGGTACACGCCCTGACTAGGGATCAAACCTATAACCTAGGTATGTACCCTGACCAGGGAATCGAACCCTGCAGCCTTTTGGTGCACAGGACGATGCTCCAACCAACTGAACCACCTGGCCAGGGCTCCTTATATCTTTTACAGGAAGAATGTGTGTCTTGCAAGGTGTTGTTCTTTGGGGTCAGCATCTATTGTGTACCATAGCTTAGAACAAATTGCAGGACTTCAGACAGGCTGGTTTGTGGGCTGGGACTTTACTGGGGAAAGGAGAACTTGGAGGGCCAGGGTTAACAGGAGAGGAACATGTTCTCCCGTCTGCCATCGTCCCACAGAGAGGCGAACCCCATGTCTCTGTTCACAGGAGGACTCTCATTCACCCTTGAATGTCTCTCCTTAAAAGGCAAGCTTGGGAAAGTAACATTATCTCAGGGAGGGGGCATGAGAAGCAGGCTTCTCAGTGCCAGGCAGTCTGGATTAGATTTGGGTTGTCATATGTGTAAGAAAGCCGGCTGCCCAGCACCCGAAGGCCCGTGGGAAGTTGTACTCCCTACCCGCGTAACAGGAAGTCAGTGGTCCCATAGGGAGCTGAGCTTGGACGCAGTCCCCCTTGTCGGCTTGTCCAGAGTGAGCTCCAGGAGTGCTTTTTGTAGTTTTCCTCATTGCACCACACTGTGTGTATATTATCTTCAGATTTCCCTGAAGAAAACCTCAGCTCTGTAGCTGTAAGGCTTCATTCACATGGGACAGAATTTTTCTTACCTGTACTAGTTCTTGAGATATGAAATGACATGAACAAGCATTTAGATCAAGTAGAGATTCTCTTGTTAAAAGAACAAATGTTCTAGGGGTTAATTCCCTTTCAGCATTAGTAATTTGCTGTGGAATTGCTAATGAATTTATTTTAGTCTCTGAAAGTGAGGGAAGCTAAATGCTTAGGGAGTAATTTTTAGTAAAATAGGAGATTTGGTGTGTTTCATAGATGTTTGTTTCATGTAAATCATTCTTAAGTTTTTATCATATAGCTAAATTATTGTAATGGTAGAATTGCAAAATAAATGTTAAGTAAAAATGCTTTACCTTATGTTAGTCCTGTTTGTCTAAAGCTAGAGAGGTTCTGTTTTGACAGTGTTAAGAAGTTAATGATGAAATTCCTCTTTAAGGAAAGACACTGTACAAATCTGTTGAACAAATCACATTTGAATTTCTTCTTCTGGAAATCTTAGCAAGAAGGCTCCCTGTGCGCCCAGCATTGCCTGAATAACCTCCTGCAAGGAGAGTATTTTAGCCCTGTGGAGCTGTCTTCCATCGCGCAGCAGCTGGATGAAGAGGAGAGAATGAGGATGGCCGAGGGGGGCGTGACGAGCGAGGACTACCGCACCTTTTTACAGGTACCCCTGCAGCTCAGGAGATGCGGGTGGGACTCACAGGCGGGGTGGAGCAGGCAGGCAGCTCTGGTGGGCGGGTGCGCTGGGGATGTGGAAGAATTGAGCAAAAAAGAAAATACAGATATGGGTATTAAAAGAAAAAGAAGAAGAAAGTGGGTATTGTTTAGAAAAGAACAAGCCGTCCTTCCTGTAGAACTCTGACTCCTTAATTATGCTCTGCGCTCGACCTTGCAAATGGGAATGCGCAAGATGTTGTTTTAGATACGCACACTAATGACAGCTTTCCCCTCTCTCTCCACCCTCAACCCCGCCTCAACTACCGATCCAAATTAAACAGCAGCCTTCTGGAAATATGGATGATAGTGGGTTTTTCTCTATTCAAGTAAGTTGTCACAGCAAGTACTAAGTGTTGTTTTCATCTGTGTAGGCTCAGAGTATGGTTGATAAAAGAGTATCTTTTCACAGTGTTTTATAGCCACTATAATGGTGGGACCTTCAGAAGTTCCTCCAATAGGTTGTGTCTAAGAGTTGTACTCTAGAGTACTCAATTTTTAAATAGATTAACATGGAAATTAGGATTGTAGAATCTTCATTTTAGAGTAGGGCTTTTTTGAAAGATTATTTAACTTGCATCTGGATACTAATAACCTTAATTCCAACAAGCCTCAGTCTTTTAAACTTACTATCTCTTGTGTATATTTGAGGAAATGAAACACCTTGCTACCTTCCCTTTAAATCAGCCTACGGGGACTGGGTTCTTTTATCGTGGTCTGTGGCTTTTTTCTTTTTTAAAACATATAAATTCAAAGGAAGCTGTATTACTTGTGAGATTCTTTTATCTGTGGGTCTTTCATTGTGTGTCTAACACCTGGGAGGTGCATCCAGAGAAGAATTCTTTCGGAACCTCTCTTGAGGGACCTACTTCTGAAGATATTTTTGTTTGCACTCCCCTTGTACTGTCCTTGACTCGTCAGCATTTCCTTTCTGTGCCTCCTTGTGAACTGTTCCGGGGAACAGCTGCTGCAGGGCTAGGAGGGAGATCTGAGGGGTCCAGTACTTGCCATTTCCTCTGTGTGTGGCGCTGCCCTTGGTGCTGATTCTCATTTGCCCGCTACGTTGCGTTCCCTTTCTGTTTGCTAGTACCAGGTTCATTTCCTTCTTTGTCAGCTACCTTGGAGGATAGGTAGTGAATTTTCAGAAATCTCCCATTTTTTTCCAGACAGTTTAAAATAATTAGGTTTACCTTTTGTTTTTTTTTCTAAAATTATAAACCTATTATATAATCTGGATTTTTGAGGCAGTTTATCTAGGAATTGTGTGGTTCTCTAGAATACCCCAGAAACCTAGTGTTAAAAAGCATTTTTTAAATGCTATGTTTGTATGTTATAAATTTAGTATTATATCTTATACACGCATACTTTTAAAACCATAGCCTTCTGGGGAAATTGCTGTATGAAATACAAGTGTTTGCACAACTAATATGGCTTTTCCTACTTAAATCTGGAATTGAATGGTCTAGCTCATGAGAAATTGCTATTTTTTTAAACAGGTTATAAGCAATGCCTTGAAAGTTTGGGGTTTAGAACTAATCCTGTTCAACAGTCCAGAGTATCAGAGGCTCAGGATCGATCCCATGTAAGATTTTATTTTGCTTTTCCTACATCTCTTTCCCTAAATTTGATTTTTTTAAAAATTTATCTTTATTGTTGAAAGTATTATAGATGTCTCTCTTTCCGCCCCCCCCATTGGTCCTCTCCACCCCACATCTGCCCTCCCCCCCAAGGCCTTCCCTGTACTATTGTCTGTGTCCATGGGTTATGCATTTATGCATATAAATTATTTGATTCATCTCTCCCCACCACTCCCCCACCCCCACCTTCCCTCTGAGATTTGTCAGTCTGTTCCATGCTTCTGTGTCTCTGGATCTATTTTTTCATCAGTTTATTTTGAACAAAATAAACTAAATTTGATTTTTAAAGTTATAATTTCTTAAGAAAAATATATTTTGAATGTCTTTGTTTTGATGTGCCCTGTTTCATTCCCTATTTCACCCTTTTGGGGCTGTCTATGAACATGTGCCCTGTAAGCCTTCCTGGCAGCTCAGTGTCTGGCAACACAGCTGATCCTTGAATGGTGTGTGCTGCCATCATTTTACAGTGTCCAAAATCTCTAGAGAGATTCTTCTGTTTGTAGTTTAAAAAAGTCAGTGATACTTAATTGTAAGCATAACATTAAATTATCATAAGTTTTATGTAACACTTGCCAGTAGACAGACTAAATGAATGTGAACTTGAATATTTCAACTTAATATTGGGTCTGTATTTTTTTCCTTTTCTAGAAATGAAAGATCATTTATATGCAATTATAAAGAACACTGGTTTACAGTTAGAAAATTAGGAAAACAGGTAATGTTTCTCCTCCTTCCTTTTTTCTCATTTTGCATTCCATTTGCAACTAAAATGTAAAGGATTAGATGAAGAACCTCACCAGTAATGTGGCTACTATCAGTCTTAGTAGATAAAAGTTTGCTATTTTAAAAGACAGTGCCAGTTTCCCTTATAGATTTATTTGTGGCAACCATATATAGTTTAGCTGTATCATAAGAAGAATTCTTCAGGACAGTGGCAAACGTGGTTACCTTTAAGTGGGTTTTATTTGATTAATATTTTGTCTGTTAACTTTTATTCCATAAATAGATTTGTATTTAGGACAGTAGTGTCACAATGCCTGAAACAGCAGCAAGCAGGAATAAAAGTTTTCAACCATGTTTGCTTCAGCACAAGATTATTCACATTCCAAAATGTCACATCATACATATATCCACATAAAGTCATTTCTAGTTTAAAAAAAAAAATGGGATGTGTCTTTAGCAAGCCTTTTTAAAATAAGAAATGTACCTAAAATGTTGTTTTTAAAAATAATTACCAATGATCTTTGTGTACACAGTTCCATTTTTGAAACAGAAATTATTTTAAAGTCTGTTTTTAGAATTTTGAATCTTTGAATGAGTGTTATTGAAAGCAGGCTAATAAAAAGGAATTAACTAGCCAGGCTGGTGTTGCTCAGTGGTTGAGCATCGCCCCATGAACTAAGAGATCCCCAGTTCGATTCCCGGTCAGGCCACATGCCGGGGTTTTGGCTTGATCCACTGCGGGGGGCCTGCAGGAGGCAGCCGATCAATGCTTCTCTCACATCAATGCTTCTCTCTCTCTATTCTTCTCCCTTCCTCTCTAAAAATTAATAAAAACAAACTCATTAAAAAAAGGAACTAACTATTGATACATACAACAATATGGTGAATCTTCAAATAATTATGCTGAGTGAAAGAAGGTAGATACAAAATACTACATACTATGGTGCTGTTTCTATAAAAGTGTAGAAAGTGTGAACTAATCTGTAGGGACAGAAAGCCTGTCACCTAGTGGTTGCCTGGGGATGAGGGGGGGCAAGAAAGAGTGAAAAAGGAGGGTTACGGGACCCAGGAACTTGGCACTGACGGGTGCGTTCACTCTTTCGGTTGTGGCGCTGTTTCATGGGTGTATACATATATTATCTCAAATTATACACTTTAAATACGTGCAGATCATTGCATGTCTGTTATACCTCAATAAAGCTGTTTTTTAAAAATAAGATAATACAAAAAAGAAAATGAAGAAAGTGCATTGAATTTATTCAATAAATAAACAAAAAGCATTGCTATCCTTTTTTAAGTCAGAGATGATTCAACCACTAGGTTTCATTTATATCTTTGAAAACTATGACCAGGTATTCTTTACTTTTTGTGTATAAAGTAATCCATGGACCTTTTTTTTTTCTTTTTAGATCTGAAGGCTTAGATTCCAGAAGTTCCTTTGTGTTGTTTTGCATGTAAACTTATATCATTATTTGGGGGTTTTAAAAATTTCAGTTTTTCAAAATGGAATTTTCACATTTTAAATTACTTTATCTTTGACAAATACAGAAAATGTCAAATTTTGGTTTGTTACTTTTAACTGTAATTTATATCTTTGTAAAATTGTATTTTTCACTACAGACTCTTGTCTGAGGTTCGTTATGGGTTCAGATTAGGACCCCTGTGAAGTAGTAACTAAATGATGTTAATTACATCAGTAGTGGCTTAGAGAGGAAGGGAGAGAGAGAGAGAGAAACCTCGATTGGCTGCCTCCTGCAGGCTCCCTAGTAGGGGCATCAAGTCTGCTTGTGCCCTCACCAGGAATGGAACCTGTGACCTGGTGCATGGGTCAGTGCTCAACCACTTAGCCACACCAGCAGGGCCGCTTACTGATCTTTTTAAAATAAGTTGGTGATTACAGATTCTCTTCCTGGAATAGACTAGCTTTCTCACAGTTGAAATCTTTGACCAATATTATCAGTAGTAGGAAACTGTGTAGTTGTCATTTTTCTTCCACAGCAATGTAATGTGATTAGATTAGGGTTTTGTTAGGCATACTTTGACAAAAGATTTAATTATAGCTGTCAATAAAGACACTTTAAAGTACTATCAGTTTCTCTTTTCTTTTGGGGGATTTAAAGTTTATGGCTTAAAGCAGACTTTTATTTTAAAAAAACATTTAATAGTGATAAATCTTCAACATTCTATTTTAAAAGGTTTTTAAAATTACATTTAATTACTTTAAATAAAAATCTCTGTTTGACATGTTTTCACTGTTTAGACAGTCATACTAAGTTTAGGTGGGTTATATCCTCTCTTTTTTTAAGATTTTTTTTTTAAAGAGGAAGGGGAGGGAGAGAGAAACATCGACGTGAGAGCGAATCATTGATCGGCTGGCTGCCTCCTGCACACCTCTTCCCCTACTGGGGATCAAGTCCGCATGTGCCCTGACTGGGAATGGAACTGACAACCTTGCATTGCACAGGATGGTGCCTAACCAACTGAGCCACACCAGCCAGGGCAGTTATATCTATTCTTAACTTGGGAAACTTCCTTTTTAATTATAATGTACACTAACTTAAATGTTGGCAATTTTTTTTCTAGTGGTTCAACTTGAATTCTCTCTTGACGGGTCCAGAATTAATATCAGACACATACCTTGCACTTTTCTTGGCTCAATTACAACAGGAAGGTAAATAAAAATGGAAATTTTTATAATGTTATCTTTCAAAGAAGCTAAATAGTACTAACTCATTAGGTGTGAGTATACCAATACTATTTTTATGGCAGTGGCAGCGAAATAATCTTTGTTTTACATGGTGAACTTGAGGTTGTGATTTGACTGACCCTGTTCAGGCAGCGTTCTCACTGACACATGGCCCTCCCCTGAGGGTGCTGCTGCTTTGCAGCCTCTCTAAGTAATGGCTCTCCTTTCATCCATACCCCCCATACCACAGGGCCAAGGGGAAGCCAAGTACTTCTCTTGTTCCTCCTTGCGCCTTCTAGGCCACATTCTTCCCTGAAATCTCCAGCTCCTTTCAAGCATGTCTCACTAGATTAAACTTTATCCCCTGATTTTTTGCAGTCATCTGTGGTCCAGCTCCTTTTCCATTGAAGATTTTAGGATCGGACTCACTGTCTTCTTTCTGCTTGAACTCCTTTCATCATTCTTAGTGATTTCTAAATCAGAAATCAGTCCAGCACCTTGCTGCTTACTTTCAAAGATCATTTTTTTCTCTCTTGCCTTGCCAGTACCAATAATTGTACCACCTTTAAACCCTAATTGCAAGCATTGTATTCCTTGACTATTGCCTCCTGTCTCTGTATCATATTTTCTCTGCTTTGTCCATTGCAACAATTCTTTAAACCCCACCACAAGGTCCAAACATTCCCCTTACAGTCTTACCTCCTTTCTTACCCTGCTGCTTTTCCATCAGCTGTCATAATCACTCTGCATCCCTCAGTCCCTTTCTCCTCTCCCTCCATGACACTTCCATAACAAAATCCCAGGCCTGGTTAAAACCAAATCTTGGTCTTGTCCATTCCTGCACCAGAGCAGCTGGCTAAATAACATCAAGTTATGATGATCGATTTTACTTTAAATCTATGAGCACAAATTTCAAATGAGCCTTTGGGGCTCCTTGCCATTCCTACTGTTTTCTCAGTAAGTTCACTTACTCTCCATGGTGGTTATTTCACAGCTTATCTCTTCAAACCTCTAACCACTTCCCCCTCCCTTCTTGCATTTATTAGCTGTAAGTTCATTTGATAGTATCTTTCCTCCAAAGGAACTAACTGGTTGGTTGTTGTTTTCTGAAGTGTCATTGTAAACTAATGCATTAAAACATAATTCATGCATTTCAGTTCATTATAATAGTCATATGATACTCAAATTATTTCATCTTGGGCCAGTGGGAACCTTTTGAACTTGACTCCAAATTTCTGAAATGACCACTGTAGCCTTTTGAAGCCTTTCTCATATCATCAGAATTTTTGGGCTTATCTTGTATATTCCCTGCCTTTTAGTAATGTTGTTTACAGTCTGAGAACTGGCCTTATTGCTGCTGGGTTGGTCCGCATATGGTGCTTTCCAGTTCACATGTCAGATTATAGTATTGTAACTTCTTTGATTTTATATATGTGTATCTCTTTTCTTTTATGCCTAAAACTGTAGTTTTTAACTATTCTTCCTTTCTTGAAATGCTGTCTACACTTGGGTTCCAGGCCCCAGTGCTCTGATTTTCCTTGTATTTCTTTGAATGCTTCCTTCAGATTCCTTTTGTGGATTACTCTTTCCAATTCCTAACTATTGAAGTGGCCAAGAGTTCAATCCTTGGACAACTTCTTGACCATGTGCTGTCCTATTATTTTAAATAGCATTTCTAAGTAAGATGTATATGCCAGTAATCCCCAAACTTTTGGCTGCTGTCTCAGTAGCCACCCTGTACACCTAATTCCTAACTTTGACATCTCCACTTGGAAGTCCAGAAAGCATTTCAAGCTGAACATGTTGAAAAAGACTGATTTTTTTTTTTTTCTCCCCACACATGCCATCCCTCAGGTTTTCCATTTCAGTAAGGATCACTTTATTGCACTCTGGTTCCCATATATTAATAAACCTCACCCATCACATTCAGTGGCTTCCCAGCACACGTAGAATGAAATCTGACATAGTTCTTCTAAATCTAGGGAGAGTTTACTTGCATAAACCATGTTAAAACATTGAATTCTGAAAACACTTGTCCTTGTAAAACAAACAAAGTTAAACGTATTAACTTAATACTGTTCGGAGTTTTTCTGTTAATATGCCGTTGGATCCTTGTTAGTTTCATGATCTGTTTTTATTTTTTGTTATTATTTCATTATCTGATAATGCTCACAAAGGATATCCAGTAATAAGCACCATAGTTTAAGAAAATTTTAGGGTAGAAAAATGTAAACTGATTGCATAAATAGAATGACTTAGGTATAGCCCACCCTTATCAGTTTTTATGTGGAGTATCCAGATGGGGGAGCCCTGGCTTTCTAGAATCATATTTATAAAAAATTATACAGGATCAGTGTAATTCTTCCAAAAGACAAGCCACACCTTGCATAACTTGACTAGATTTTACGTATTGCTTCTCAGTCCTTGTTTTCAGTTGTGGGTCGGGGATAGGGGTGAGGGGGCAACTCCTTCCACAAATGACTTACTTTACACATATTACACATTATTATTTATATTATATGATTGTCCTCACAGCAGTCCTCTGAGGAAGGTACCAGTACTATCTATTTAACAATTGAAGGAACCAGGACATAGATGGGCAGAGTGATTTACCAGAACCTTGCAGCTAGGAAATGGAAGAGCTTGAATTAAAACCCAGGTGGTGTGCTTCCAGATTCCTTGCTCTTGCCCATCCTTGACCGCCCCTCTTTCACCATGTAGGGCGTAGCCTGCATGGTCAAACACTGCTTTAGGAGGGCTCTTTACAGATATTATTTCATTTATTTCTGATACTTCGTGAAATGACTGTTCCCATCTTACAGATGAGGAAAGTCAGCCTCAAAGACTTAAAGTAAGTAATTTGTCCTGGCTCACCCTGCCAGTACGTACAAGAATCATGATTTGAACTCAGGTTTTTCTGACTCCTCAATTTATCTTCTTTCCACTGCTGTATACCATGCTGCCTCTCTAACTGCTATCATTTTTCATCGATTTTTGAATCTCTTACTGGCTGGTTTAGTTTATTTTTGCCTTTTTTTTAGGTTATTCTATATTTGTTGTTAAGGGTGATCTGCCAGATTGTGAAGCTGACCAACTCCTACAGATGATCAGGGTCCAACAGATGCATCGACCAAAACTTATTGGGGAGGAATTGGCACAGCTGAAGGAGCAGAGGTAACTGAACTCTGCAGTACGGGTGGTGTGACCATGTTTCGTTGCAGGAATTAAAGTGTCATGCTGATGTTGAAGGGGTGGCCCGTTTGTTGCTGGTGATTTCTTTTAGACCCATATATTTTAGTGAAGTTTATTGGTTCAAACTTGAATCAATTCTTTGAATTACTTAAATGTATTAACTTAGAGTCACGTCGCAACACAAACTTTATATTATTAGACTTTATCTGCAAGAAAATGTGTAAGTTTCTTTAATTTTATTTTTCAATTACAGTTGACTAAACGTGTAGTTATGACTTATATGAATTCTTCAGTTTATAGATGTCTTTATATCTAAAGTGCAAGACTGATCCGCAGTTGTTACTGGTGCTTTCGTTCCTTAGAGGCCAGAAGGCTGATCCGGAGCAGGACTCGGGCCCGGACGACGGGCCGGGGGCGGCGCTGGAGGAGGAGGAGCTGCAGCGGGCGCTGGCGCTCAGCCGCCGGCAGGCGGACGCCGAGGACGAGGAGGCCGACCTCCGCCGGGCCATCCAGCTCAGCATGCGCGGTACGGCCTCGTGCGGGGGCCTCGGTTTCCTGGGGCCAGCTGTGGGGGGCCCCGCCGGAGCACTTGTGCAGGGAGCCCTGGGTTCCCTGGGGGCTAATGAGCAGTTGGAGGTTCTTTGACAGTTACTGCAGAAGCGATAGCTATGTAGTCAGCTGTTCTTTTAGTTTTCTCATAAATAACTTTTATATCCTATGTTATATTAGGAATAAATGTATATATGTGTATATATTTTTAATCCTCACCTGAGGACATTTTCACTGATTTTTTGGGAGAGGGAGGGAGTAAGGGGGAGGGAGAGAAAACATCAGTGTGAGAGAGAAAATTGGTTGGCCGCCTCCGGGGCCAGGGATCAAACCTGCAACCCTTTGGTGGCACAGGACAACGCTCCCACCAGCCCAGCTGCACTGGCCAGGACACTAGCTGTGTTTTTATTTCTGGTTATTCCATGTGGTTATAATACTGTACTAACACAGCAATAAACTGAGGCTAATCTTTGTGGGCAAAAGTGGGGGACTCTTACCCAGGCTGACTGTTTCATAAATGTATATGCTGTTGGACACAAAGGAAGGCCTGGACAGAGAGTAGAAATTGGTTTTACAAAAACCTAACATTGGTGTCTGTGCAACTAATAGTGTAAGTCCACTGCAATGGGCCTGCTTTTATAGTGATATAAGCCCATCAACAGAGGAGAGTGAAGACACATCCCCTAGGGAGCCCAGGTGGAGGGAGATGTCTGGTTTCTAGCTCAAAGTGGCTCACATAGGAGTGTGAGGAGTTTCTTGTGGTAGTTTTGTTTTCCTCTAATTAATACGGTTTTCCTTCTACTTTCTAATGAAATTATTGATTGAGTTCCTGAAATATCTCAATAAAATTGAGGTAATGGCAGGCACCAGCTTTTATAACTTTAGATATTTTTGTGTAATTCCCTCTTCTTACCACTTTATTTCACAATTTGTACGAAATCTCGTTAGTGCAATAAATGAGACCATGGAAACATACTTAAGTTGTTGTAGGACCCAAACTTTTGAGGAGAAAGGAACGCCAAGAATGGGTTTGATTTATGATCATCCACTTTAAGTTGGTTCTGAGGAATTCTATGCCTTTGAAAGTATAGACTGATGTCTAGTAAGTTAAAGAGAGCACACAAGAGTGGTGTTAATGGCTCTTCCCACCAGCTTGGTTGTTGGACTTAAATCCTTGCATCTGCTACCACAGTTGGGTAAGAGCTTTGCTATAGTGGACACAGGTTGGATTTGAACTGCCTTATGCAGACTCCCCCAAGGCTCTTAGAGCCTTTCTTATGTTTACAGAATAGTAGCAGAATACGTTTAAGAAGAAAATTTTTTAAAAGCTTGCTCACATAAGTATAAACATATTGTTCCTTTACCTGGTAAATAAAACGTTTTTTGTCCCATTTTCATTTGTTTTCAGGTAGTTCCAGAAATGCATCTCAAGATAGTCCACAGACATCAGGTACACATCTTACTTCAGAAGAGCTACGAAAGAGAAGAGAAGCCTACTTTGAAAAGTAAAGTAGTTGGTACAATATTAAAATTGCATATTCAGTATTTACTGTGGCTATTCTCTCTATTTGTGAACTTACAGCTTTGGCTTAAACTATTTATTTTATTTAGGATCCTCTTTTGTAAAAGACTGGTTACTGCCTGACCCTGGGAACATTGGGATGGGTTTTTTTTAAATTTACATCAAATAAACTGTGAAATGAATTGTTGCTTTAGGGAAAAACTTTGCCCCAATACTAATTGAATTTACATGAAATAGGGTGAAGGCAACCCTGCAAAATTTCAGTCATCAAAAGGAAAATGGAATTGGGTCAAGGCAAGAATAGTGCCTAACGATCCTGTGAATGTGCTTCTCAGTTACCTAACCCTGCAACATCTGTCAGTTCATAGGAAACAGCATTTATGGTAGGGGGAGCACACTCCCAGGTAGAGGTGGTGGCCGAGAGCTCTGCTCGTTGCCATTCTGCGGGAGTACTGCAGGTCCGTCAACATCAGGGATATGCGGACAGACCATAAATCTGAATCATCAGCCCCTAAAACCTAACTTTGTGCCCAGCTTTATAAACAGTGCTCTTAAAATAGAAATTTTACCCCAGAAAAATACCATTCTTTCTAGTGACTGTCATTCACAGGTCGTCTTCCCTTTTTCTTAATGATGAAAATCCATCTTAAAGATTACAAGATCTATAATAGATATTCAGATACACTGGTCCCAGTTCAAAAACCAAAAGGCCAGCAGCTGAATCTGGCCTGTTAACTTACTGTATTTCATTCATTCTAAGATTTATAGATCCTTACACTTCAACATCTCTGCAGTGCACCTCAGAAGCATCTCACAGTCATAATTGGCAGGATTTTAGTGGTGCCTAAAATATTGGAGCATTTTACATTTGATGGTGTTATGAAGATAATATTTACCTTGTTTTCTGTGTTTGTTTGTTTTTAAGTCACAACTCAGAAGTATATGAAGGAAAGTTCTGATCAGCTGACATCCTCTTAATGTGAGATATTTCTAGTCTTTATTCAGTGATAGATTAATGGATTTAATTATATGTGACATTTCAAACTAGTGCTTATTAATACTTTTTACTTTTAAATTTTAAAATCAACTTTTATATTTTAAATATGATAAACTTCAAGTTTATATAAAAGTAGAGAAACCAGCATAATGAATCCCTGTTGCCCAGATTTAACAAATATTAGCACATGACCAGTCTTGTGTTTTTATGCCCCCATCTCTTCCACCCCTAAGCTGGGATTATTTTGTAATAAATATAAATCATCATATCATTTCACCCATATTTATTTCAATGCATGTCTCTAAAATATATGGGCTTTTTCTTTTAACATAGCCAAATGCTATTGTCACACAATAATGTTAATAATTATCATGTGATAATTATTAATGGTAATTTTATAATATCAAATATCTAGTGTTAAAAATAACTTAAAACTACTTAATTAGATACAAACTAATACCCTAGAAAATTTATTTTTAGACATCAAAATGAAAACATAGTCCTAACTTTCCTTTAATTACTGATGTTAGTATTTTGGCACATTTTCTTCTAGTCACACAGACTCACATATATATTAGTTATACCATTTTCCCGTGATGGTAAGTATTCTTTGTAAATAGGCTATATGATATTTCATAAAATGAAAGTATATATCCTCATTTACATATGAACATTTTGATTTTTGCTGTTGTAATTCATAGTGCAGCGAGTTATCCTTGTACTTTATGCCTCAAATCTCTCATCGTGTCTTCTAATTATTCTGAGGATGTCAGATTTTAGTGTTAAAGGACATGACCATTTTTAAGGCCTTGGTACAGATTTCTAAACTGCTTTCCAGAACAATTTCCAAGTGATACTTTTACCGTGTTTTTTTCAGACTTTGTTTTTTTTGCCAGAATAAAATTGTCCAAACAGACATACTTTATAGAGAATCTACAAAATTCACACATATATCTAAGAAAAGGAAAACATCTTTAAAGTGTAAAAACAAATTCCTCTTTTATTTAAAATTTTTTTTAGATTTTTTGGGTTAGAAATGTGGAACTTCCAATGCATGAAACTTTTTAGAATAACGCAGTAACATTCCGTAATGGCTAAGGGAATTCTAACAAGCGCAGTGCCGGTGATAACTAACGCGCCGTTTTGTCACCCTGCCCCCTTATGGCGGCTGCGCATCGGTGTGGCTCCTTCCTGGTTGGAGGGCGTTGGTGGGAGGAAGGTGCGCAGTGAAGGCTTCCAGCTCTAGGTCCTCATCCTCTGCTCCTGGCTCCACCTTAGAAGTACTGGTGGGAACTTGAGAACTAGAGAAGACTTGGAGTCACATGTTGCTGAGAAGAGTTAAGAGCTAACTTCTTGGTATTTCTTTGTAATATTGGCTAACATTCAGAATCGTGTAGGGCTCCTTAATAAAGGAGCTGAGAAACGAATACTCTCCTTTTCACTAGAATTTCTGATTATTAAGCCTAGGTGGGTCCTTGTCTTTCTAGCTTCCACCTTTGGGAACGTGGCTATAAGGTTATTGAACTATTTCTTTCTTCTGACATTCTCCCAACTGACCCTGGTGCTAACTTGTTACTCATTCATATTTATAAGTTTGGTTATTTTTTGTGTGTGTGGAGCATTCAAAGCTTCATACTTAATGTAACCACAGTATTCATATATGAAGCATAAAAAATACTGTTAAAAATTTACCTGTTATAAACTCATACGTATGAGTAAGAGTTGTTAAATATTTTCACAGCCATATTTTTTTCAGTAATAATCTCTGAATCCATTTTACTTACCATAAAACCCCCAAGCAAAACTATTATTATCAGCTTTGTCATTGCAAAACCTGCCTTCACTCACATGTTATGAACATCAAATCAAGTGAGGTGTGTAAAGCTATTTTATAAATGGTAAAGTGTTCACAGACACACATTAGCATGATTAACATCTTCTCGCAGGTGTTATTCTGAAATGATGCAGATTCTTTTTTTCTGTTACTTAAAAAGTGTTTCCCAACAGGGCAGGTAACAAGTACTGTTTTCATGGTCATGGATTGCTGTGATAGTTTGATTGCCTAATACTTAAGCCATACCTTTAGTGGCATGGCTTAGTCAGGGTTCAGTTTAAGAAACGTAAACTACTAGAGGTGCTTTAAGCAGCAAAGTGTTTAATATAGAAATTATGGCCTTATACAATATTAGGAAGAGCCAGAATGCAGGCTGTGGGCCAGGCCTCCAGAATTCCAACTTGTTTGAAGAACTGCGACCACTGCCCAAGTTGAGATGACGGGGAATCAGGGTATCAAGTTTAAGAACACACTGCCCAAGCTGTGATCCTGGGATCAGGAAACTGCCACCACTGTTGCTTAGACATCAGGAAACTGTCACCACGGTTGCCTAGACATGAAGACCTGGGAACATGAAATCTGGCCCCCACTGCAGAATTCTGGGCCTGCCACCTTCATGACTTGACTTGCTAGCAGAGAACAGCCAAAGCAGCAGGAAGATGGCTGTGCCTCATTTCTCATCCCTGCCTTTTGAAGCTCCTGCGAGTGCTTCATTGGTTTCCAGGTCTAAAGCAATTTAAGACATGTCGTTTTTAGCTTTCCAGACTCTGAGACAGAAGGCACATTAGAAGGCACAGTGGGAATGGATAATGCGTGCTATTCGAGTACATTCTGTCTTACAGTGTTATCACGTATTAAAGGTGTCAGAAGTGTTTCAAGGTTGGCAGCTCATTTACTTCTCACTTTTCATGAATTTAAAGTAGAATAGAAGTTACGCCTCTGAAGTCACTGCCTCACCTATCACTCCCTGGCATTATTACCTGTTTTCTTGAGTGTAGGAGGAAGAGGGCATGCAGAGGTATCTGATGTGCCAGATATCACAGCCTGTCTTTCTTGTGCCATGTTCCAGAATGGAGTATGGAGTGTGCTAGCGGGAGTACATGGCCCACGATCCATCATTAGCCATGCACACCAGTGTCTCTTAAACGTGTGCAAATGTCAGTATGCTGGCTCAAAGACCAACAGGGGGAAAGGGCGATTCCCCACTGGTTGAATTTTCTTTGTTGCTCATATTTGAAACACAAGATTAAGGGAGACCCTAGAAAAATTATGCTATTAATAGTGTTATTGGTAATTTAAAAATTCTGGTTCCTTTAAAAATCCTATGCATTTTTTGAAAGCTATGGCTTCTCAGATTGTTGTCGTTTTTAAGTTTTTTAAATTTTAGCATATATATGTATATACAAAATCATTTGAAATATACATAAAAGCAGAAATAGTTCACAGAGCTCCTATCCCTGTCATTCAGATTTCCCAGTTGTTGACATTTCTAAACCATTTGAGAATAAATTACAGACATGATTTCTCATTGTGTCTCAGCACTTCTGTGTATATTTTCCAAGTATAAGGACCTACATATTACATCATAACCATCATGTTTAAATGTTTTATGACATTGTTTTTCCTGCTTAAAAAAATTCAGGGAGAACTTATTTTGATGCAATAGATATTACCAAACTTGATAAGGTATGTTAAATAGTTTTCATTTCTTACATTCATCAAGTTTTTGGTGAATGCCTACTTTGTGCCTGGCACAGTTTTATGCACTGGGGGACAACAAGGTGTGTACTCTTGTTAGCTTATACTCTAAAGAAGAAGACAGAAGATTCAAGATGGTGATAAGTGTATGCTGAAAATGAAAATGAAGTAATGAGATAGTGAGAATGCCAGGTGGCGACTTTAGGAGGGTGGGCAGGAAAGGTACCTCGAAGGAGGTATTTAAGCTCTGATCTGAATGACAGGAAGGATCCAGCTGGAGAGATCATGTTAACTTGCATGTTAATTGGACATGCTTTATTTTTCTTGAAGGTGCTTATTTTCACTGACCTCCCACAACATTAAGGATCTGTAACCAACACACTTGCATAAAAATAGCTGCCAGTGAATCTTTTTGTATGATGTGTTATTTTGTGGTAAAAATACCTGCCTACTAATTTCTCTAATTCAAATTTTACATCTAGGTTGCCTAGGATTGCACTGTGATACTTTAACAAGTATCAGACTGATGCTCTTGCATTCTTCTGAGGTTCATGCCAGTGACTTTTGTTTTGTGGAACCATTTATTTTCCATGTGAATAGTGTTTCTCATGGCATATTCTTAGGTTTTGTTTTTTTAATGTGTATTCTCTTTTGCATGTTTCAGGCAGCAGCAGCAGCATCAACAACAGCAGGATCCACCAGGACAGCTTTCACCGCCGTGTGAAACACCGACCCCAAATTCAGAAGCACTTGGCAGTGATCTAGGTACACCTCTGACCGTGTATCACACTCATTACCTGCACACTGTGACACACGGGCTCTGTGTGATTTTGGCTTTATAGGCTGTTTTCTTCTTTCTTTAATTGTATTGAAATTTTGAATGAACCTATAATCTAAATTTCCCTGGATTAAGGAGCAGGAGGACTAGAGCACTCAAGGAATGGTTTGCTTTAAAATCATAAATGATACTTGCAGCTTCACAGTAATGAGTACATTCTATGCAAGTTCCTCAGAGGTAATGAATATTAATAGGTGGAAAATAAATACATCTTCCCCCTGGAAAACTAAAACCTCCTGGGTGTAGTCTAAAAAACAACAGGAAGTCTAGAGTTATATGTCAGGCCTTGGTTTAATAAGTCTTACACTTTCACCAGTTACTGGGAATAGAAGTTAAGTGAGAACTGGATGACAGGACTTCCAAGCAGAATGTGTAAAGAACTCTCAAAACCGAGATAAGAAAACAGCTCAAAAAATGGACTTCACCAAATAAAATATATGGGTGACAAGCACATGAAAATATGCCCAACGTCACTCATCATTAGGGAAATGCAGATTGAGACCACAGTGAGCTACCATCACACACCTGTGAGAATGGTTTAATAAAGAAAATGGACAGTGCCAAAGGCTGACAAGGATCAGAGCAGCTGGGACCCATACACTGTTAGTAGACGTGTACAATGGCACAGCACCTTGGAAAACAGGTTAGTATTTCCTTACACACTTGAAGCAAACTGAGCCACGTTATCCATGGTCCCGCTCCTAGGTGTATAACCGAGATAAAGGAAACAGGTTCCCAGAAAAATGTGCATGTGAGTCCTTAGAGCAGCTTTATTCATAATTGCCTCAAACTGGAAATTGCCTAAACCTTGTCCTTTAGCTGGTAAATGGATGCACAGTCTGTGGACTGTTAGCAATAAAAAGGAATGACCTGGTACTTACTTCTACTCCTGCTAAGTATAGCTAATAAATGTAAGAATCTGAACGGTAGGGAGAAGACAGGCAGGCTAGGAAGCTCAGGAGCAGAGGAGTGACAGTGGTGAGTGGCCTGGGCTTCTTTTTTACCTCATCTGTTATGGACGTTGTGCTAGAGAAGCCACAGGTGCAAACCAAGAAAAAAGCACCAAGGAAAGCCTGCTCTGTGTAACCAAAAGGGAGCACCTAGCAAGACAGAAACTTTTTCTGGTACAGCCAAATAACCAGGCAAATAAAAACTGGTCCTGCCACCACCACACCCGCCAGCGGAGGCCAAGTGGGAGCCTAGACTGTATCCCTACCTGCAGTATGGGGCACACCTCCCCGCCCCCAGGCCAAGGTGATGTCCAAGAAAGCCAGGTGGGGAGCTGGAAGTTTTACTTCCTCCAGGAGAAAACAGGCCCCTTTGCCGCGGGGGCCATGGTCACAGGGAGCCTGGACTTGCATCAGCAATAAAGAGGTGTCCCTCTGGCTTCCTGCCTGGGTGGAGTCAGGCTTAGTGGCGATTCAGGACTGTCACCGAGGCAGTAACAAGGCCACCCCCACAGTGTCGGTGAGAGACAGTGACAAGGCATTCCTCCCCTCCCAGGCAGGTGGATTTCAGTGGAGGACAGTGGCAGCCAGAACTCCCACATGTGTTCAGCAGCTGTGATCACACACACCCTGCCTGTCTGGGGCAGTAAGGTAGCACCCTCTTCCCCCACTGGTGCTGTGTCAGGAGGCCTGCTAAAAGAGGAGATTTAAATAAAATTCAGTCTTCTACTGTCCAGATGTCTAGGAGTCAATCCAAAATCACTGTCATACCAAGAGCCATGGAAAGTTCAACTTGAATAAGGAGACAGTTAAACACCTTTGCCGAGGTGACCGACATTGGAATTTTCTGACGGTTTTAAAGCGGCCATCATAAAAATGCTATAATGAGCAATTACGGATATGCTTGAAACAGAGGAAAAATAGAAAGGGAATAAATAGAAGCTACAAAGAACCAAATGGAACTTTTAGAACTGTAAAATAACAACTAACATTTTAAAACTCAGTGGATGGCCCAGCAGATGAATGGAAGGAAAGAGTCAGTGATCTTGAAAACAGAACAAGAGAAATTACCCATGCTGATCAACAGGGAGAGTTAGGCTGGGGAAAATGAACAGCCTTTGAGACCTTGGGACTATAATGAAAGACCTAACATTTGTGCCGTGAGAATCCAGGAAGGAGATGGGAAAGAGGGTGGGGCTGAAAAGGTATTTGAAGAAATAATGGCTGAAAATTCTCCAAATTTGGCAAAAGATATAAACCTACAGATTCAAGAATATCAGAGGACCTTAAACAGGATAAGCCCAGAGAAATCCATACTTAGTCTAATTTCTGAAAACAGAAGATAAAAAAATCTTGAAACCAGCTGAAAATAACCTACAGCAATTTGCATTACAGCAGATTTCTTATCTGAAATCTTGGAGGTCAGAAGGAAATGGCATCTTTCTCAAGTGCTGAAAGAAAATAAAAGAAAATCTGAACCCAGGTTTCTGTATCCAGTGAAAATTTCCTTCAGGAATGAAGGGGGAAATTAGAGAATTTGTCATAGCAGACCCACCCTAAAATACTGGCTAAAGGAAGTTCTCTGAACAGAAATGATACAAGAAGTAATCTTGGAACAGCGGGAAGGAAAAAACAATAGAAAGAATAAAATATGGGTAAATATGATAGATGTTCCTTTTGAGTTTTCTAAATTATGTTTGACGATTAAAGCAAGAATTATAACATTGATTTGGTTTTTAGTGTGTGTACAGAGAATATTTAAGGCAGTTATAAACAGGAGAGTAAAAGGATGTAAAGGGAGGTCAGGTTTCTCCATTTAATTTGAACTGGTACAGGCACTTGGGAAAATACCTGGGCAGTTTCTTACAACGCAGCAGTTACACTCCTAAGCATTTATTCCAGAGAAATGGAAATTTCTGTCCATGTAAAAACCTATGCACGAATATTCATAGCAGCTTTATTTGTCATAACCCAAAACTGGAAACAACCAAAATGTCCTACAGGAGGTGAATGGTTACATAAACTAGTCCATACACTATATACACACTATGGAATAATACTCAGGATTAAAAAGAAACCAATTGTTGATGCATGCAACAACTTGGATGCCTCTCAAGGGCATTATGCTGAGCGCAAAAAAAAAAAAGCCTCAAAAGGGCTTATACTGTATGTCTGTTCATGTAACATTCTAAAAATGACATTCGGAGAGATGGCGAACAGCTTAGTGGCTGCCTGCAGTTAGGGAAGGTAACGGGGAGAGAAGTAGGTATGAATATAAAGGGATGGCAGGAGGCAGATCTTCGTGGTGCTATAACAGTTCTTGGTGGTGGTTACACAGGCCTGCACATATGATAAAATACCATAGAACTACACACAACATTGTACCAGTGTCAATATCCAGGTTTTGGGTGGAGCTATACTTCTGTAAGATTGGGTGAAATTGAGCCGAGGTGTACCCAGGTCTTATCTGAACTGTCTTTGAACTTCTATAAATAAATATTTTAAAACATTTTTTTTAAAGTAATGAACTGTGATATACACAACAAAGTTAAATCTTTCAGTTAGCATAGTGCATTTTGCCAGGGGAAGAAGCCATACTCAGAAGGCCCCGCACTTACTGTACCATCCCATTTATGTGGACATGCACGGAAGGGCAAACCAGGGCAGAGAATGTAGCGGTGGTTGTCTAGGATTAGGGGGTGGGGATTGGCCGCAAACGGGCACAAGAGATTAGCACAAGAGAATTTGGGGCGGCAGTGGAACAGTTCTGTACCTGGGTGCAATGGTGGTTACTCAACTCTATGCATTTGTCAAAACTTATAAAACGGTAAAAGAGTGAATTTTACAGTATGTAAATTTTAAAAATCTAAAAGGAAACTAGTAGTAAAAAAGAAATGCATTTTCTAAGAGTTTACCTTTTGATGACTGATAATTTTCCAGAAGTTTCTAAGAAATATGTGTATTTTCTTTCCCAACAGGTGGTCTGAGTGAAGAAGACATGCTTCAGGCAGCAGTGACCATGTCTTTAGAAACTGTTAGAAATAATTTCATAACAGAAGAAAAAAAATAATACCTTTTACAAATGTCTAAAATATTCATACTTTCCAACATTGTCCTGTGTGGTTAAAGCATAGGGTCCATTTTGGTAGCGTGTCAAAGAGAACAGTGTTCAGCAGAGGAAATGAGACTTTTAGGTGGTTTGCAAACAAAAAGAAGAGAAGGTAGAAAAATGCATCAGTGGTAGGACTAAATAACGAACCTTCAAATACTAGCCAAAGCGTCCAGCAGGTAGAGAAATTTATACTAGTTTTCTCAATGTTTTTTCATTTTTGAGTGCAATATCTAACTTGTCTAAAATTAGGGCATTTTTTTTGAGTCTTTTTGCAGACCAACTAATAAGCTCTTGCCACAGAACTGTCCCCATATATTTTGTTTTCTTTTCCTCCCTCTGTGTAGGCAGCTTGGCTCACTTTCATTACCTAATAGTTGCTTCTATGTCTGATTAACTAAATTAACTTTTTTGGACAGTGTCTCTTCTCTGTGTTGATAATGGTTCCAGTAATATTTCCAGAAGGATAAGTGTCCTCCCTTCCCCTGTGTATTGTGCACTTGGGTGTTTTCTCATGTTATTGTCTGATTGCAATTTATCTGCTACCTGGTTTTTATTTTTCTACAACTCTTAAAAGGTGGTAATCTTCCTTGAGGTTTCTCTTTTGAAGTCCTCCAAGATGGGATCATTATTTCATGATTCTGGTGCATTCCTAAACTCTGAAGTCAGCTCTGCACAAGTATGTAAGAATAAATGAGCATTTCTAAAATGTGTGAGCACATCCTTTCCCAGATGCTTCCTGAACATCATCTCAGTTGTCAGAACTGTGCAGCTTTGCCGTGACCCTCTATCCAGCACCTTTTACTTCCTCTTCTCCAGCTGAGAAAAGCAGAAGCCCAGTATCCAAGCAGGTTTCCTTCTGTTGTAAGACAACATCTAATACCCACCATGAATGTGTGATAGACAGAATTTGGCCATCAATTTTAATAGCAGGTTCATTTTATTTTTTTCCCTTGCGATGGAGCTCTCTGTTCTATTTACAGCTGAGCCATGGAATGTGGATGTCGGCTTCTGCTGTACATCTAATAGGTATAGCTCGCCAGGGATCTGGAACATGAAAATAATTTACTAACAAAATGTATTTAAATTTACACTGTGATTTAACACTTGCATCATGTTGAAAATAGCTTAAAAGTTATAGAAGTCACACAGTACTGAATGGGTATGTAAATAAGAAAGTCTTTAGTTTTGATAAACATTCTTTAATTGGGATGCCCAGTGTGTCTTGCTAGGTCAATACAATGGTATTTTAGGTGAAAATTAACCATGTCTCATTGAAGTGGATGTTTTAGATCCTGTCACCTACTCCACATCCCTTATTTTCCATCCCCCTTTTAAAGCCCTTTTGAATGTTGAATTGTTCATAAGCTAAAATTAAGAAGACATTTCAGCCGACGACTTAGAAAATTAAAGTTTGGTATATTGCCATACTGTCGTGTGGCTGCACACATTATCAGGGAAATTTTTTTGATCTAGGATTTATTGCTAAGTGAAAAGAGATGAGAAAATGCTTTTTATTTATGATTATGATATAGCTTTTTCTTGGAAAGAGACAGATTTTTTTTAGTTACTATTTTGTGCCAAATGAAGTCTTCTGAAGTTTCCCTTAAAAAATTAAACAGTTGTACTTTAAAATCTAGTTTTCTTTTGACAATTGAAAATGTTTCAGAAGAATTGTAAAACTTTAGAACTGTAAGTGATGTTAGAGTTAGTACTACTCTCTCAAGACTTACAAATCAAAATACTTGGCCTTTACTTTTTCCCATTGAAAATTTACATAAAACTTCATACACTTGATTAGCTACCTGATATAAAAATGAGAGGACGAATATGCATAAGTTTTAACCTAAAGTTTATAAAGTTCTTATATTAACCACCCTTGTTAAAGTCTTTAGGGAAATATGGTGTGTTGTCCTTCATTTGTTAGGGATTTTTTAAAAGCAAAGCTGAGCACACACTGGATACATTTGAATGTGTGTAGTTTGTTGTGACATTGTTATATTTGGCAGGCAGATCCAGAATCACTAGTAAGCTGCCATCTTGTTTGGATTGGCTTAAGTTTAATTGAACATTTAAATTCCATTCATTGGCCAGTATAAAAAGATGCCAAAGCTCATAACCACAGTATCAGAAAATTTAAAAGTTACAAAAAGCTATAGATCACATATCAGGAACTGCTGTTTACTATAAACTACCTGCAAGAAAGGAACAATAAAATTCACAACTGTCCTGCTAACAAGTTTATATTAAGATTTCCATTCTGTTTTACCAATTGGGAACACCTTAATGTTTAATATTTAAACTATTGGTATCATTTTTCTAATGTATAATTTGTACTACCAGGATAAAATACATACAGTGGCAATACTAGTGTTATAAGTAAAGTTTAAAACAAGCTTTGGAAATGCCACTTTTATATTTTGAGATGTCATGGATTTAATAAATATTTATTTATGTTTTAAAATTCAGACTAACCTCTGGATCTAAAACCATCAATATACATTTTTACAGTAATTAACTTACAGATATTTCAGTACTGTAAATTGTTTGAAGCGGTTGCTGTAGTTAAGCTATATTTTAGCTCTAAGATCTTGGCCAAATAATTTACAATTCACAGAATATTTGAGGTGCTTTTTTCTTTTAACTTGATTTTTCTTAATTAAGACTTTATTCATGCCAAAGTTAATGAGGAAAAAACCTTAAAACTAGTTAAGACTCATTATAGGCAAAACTACCAATAGTCTACATTGTTTCATTTAATATTAAGTTCAATAAAGTAAATTTTATTTCAATCAAAGCCTGAATCACATTTTTAATGTGTGCATGTTTGATATTGTATTTAATAGTATCATGCTACTGCCAAGATTTACTAAATGTCTTATAATTGGCCCATTGGACCTGTGCAAATTCAAAAAAGAATTGATTCAGTATATAAATTATAATTGAAATATCTTCGGTTGAAAAATGTTGATGTTTTAAATTCTTAAGATTCAATAATTAATATGGATGACTTCCTATTAAAAACGTGACCTACAATTAGAGAGGCCTATGACCATTACTTCCAAAGTAAATTGTTACCTCTGGGCCCTCACAAGTACAAAGATGTTATGTATGTGATCTTAATTAAGAAAAACCAGATTGGATCAACTAATCTCGGCAGTGTAGATCTTTTTTTTTTTAATCCTTACCCAAGGACATGCTTATAGAGAGGAAGTGAGAGCGAGAGAGAGAGAAACATCGATCGGTTGCCCTCTGTATGTTCCCTGAATGGGAGTCAAACCCAAATCCCAGGCACATGCCCCGACTGGGAATCAAACTGGCGACCTTTCAGTGCACAGGGTGATGCTCAACCAACTGAGCCACACTTGCCAGGCTAATATTTTAAAATAAAAGCTTTCCTTCATTCCTGGTCCCTTTATAACCAGCATCTTTTGCTAAAGAAGTAAACTCTTGTATTTTTTAGTCTTATACATAAAAATATTTTTGTTCCATTCTGCTTTCATGGATGAAAAGATTATTGCGTGGTTGGTTAATTCTTGAATTTTGATTTTTTTTTAATTTGAAGAAAACCTTTGCTGTTTTCATTTTTCCCAAAATGATATGGCATTTTAAGAATTAATACTAGCAACATCACTTGTAAATTCACAGTAATTGGCATGCTACATTAATAATATATCAATACTACTATGGACTCATAGGCAGTGGGGAGCAATAGTGAAATGTGTTGAGGAGGCACTTCAGTTTTCTCTTGCATAGTTCAGAGGTGAATGTTTCTGGGAATGTTTTTAGTGCTTTTTTTTTTTAAAGAGGAAAATGTACATTTGAATGTGGTTATCTAATTTCTATAACACTGGATTACTAAGAATAACTTTTTAAAGGTCACTCTTCTATATAAAGAAACTATTTGAAATTCAAGTACAAAAAAACATCTGAAATAAAAAGCATTGTGTTTTGGCCATGATACAACTGCACTGTGACGGTGCCATTTGCTCAGGACTGGACTCTGCAGCCCTTCTGTGTCCACCCCTCTGAGTTCTTTTGCTGTTGTTACACACACAGGCCTTCCTGTCTGGTCCTTAGCAAAGCTGGGCTTCCAAATCACTGTTGAACACTGAGGATTCTATTGTTAATGTGGATGTTCTATAAGTTGTATTTTAAATATCAAAGATTATTAAATAAAGGTAATGTTTGCTTTTTTATTTTTGTTTTTATTTGTATTTATTGTTAATTCATAGCCTTGCCATTCAAAGTTTGGTTGGAAGACCAGCAGCATCTGCACCACCTAAGGACTTTGTAAATGCAGAGTTTCAGGCCACACTCCGACCTACTGAGAACCTGTGTTTTTAACAGGGATTCCCATGCAGAGTGAAGTTGGAGAAGCCATTTTATGGACTGCAGAGATGAGTAAAAGCAGGCCAGGGGAGCCCACTGATAACTCTGTTCTAGCTAACTGCTGCCAAAGGGCCCAGTATTACTGGAGCCTCTGATCTTTTCTAAGAAGCTAAGAATCCCACATTTTAATTTGAAATTGTTTAGAATGTTGGCTCAGTTTTTTAACCCTGAGGGCCAAACTACATTAGTAACAATTTTTAAGAGTGCTGGTTTTTCCTTATTTTATCCAACTCTGGACATCAGAGTCCAACTAATAATTGGACTCCACCTGGACTGACAGGATTATAGAATCCTCAAATTTTATAATGAGGGTTGTATATCCATTTTAGGCTTAATTAGGGTTCGGCACAAACTTTGAAACAAAATTTTTAGATTGATTATATGATCTTTTTAACTTAATAGCTTGGTGCTTAGAAGGGCCAATTCATTGAATTTGGATGCCACCAAATGATCTCTAGCACTCATCTGTGGCCTTTGTGAAATATAAGTTGATTTGAAGTCCTATTTTATGTTTTCTAAAAACATCTTTTATAAAAGGGAATTTTGGGGTTGTCCTTATCCTGAAGATTTGCATGTTTTAGGATCCTTTTAACCATTTTGTATGGGTGTCACCAAATGTTCAAAATTCATGGGTCCAGCTGACCTCTTCAGCCTGTCCTTTTGACATTTCCCCTTTTTCCACTGTAGTCCCAGCCGGCCACCTTACAGAGCTTCAGATAAACTGGCCCTTTCCCACCTGCAGGCATTCTGTAATATTCCCTGCCTCCTTTCCTTTGCACCTTTTGAGATCCCTTCTCCTACAGTTCATTTGCCATCCCCTATTATAAGGATTCTCTTTCAGGGGGGCTACCACTCTTTGCTGTGACCTCCTCTCCCAAGATTGTTCCAGTTTTCTCTGTCTGGAACCCCAGCCACCTTTGTCTCATGGTCTGCTAGAGAGAAGCAATTTCTGTCATTCATTCAAAACACTTGAGCACTTGACTGTGCAAGTATGGTTCTGGAAGCTCAGAAACAGCCATGAATAAAATAGTCTGCTCTCATGGGCTTGTAGTCTAGCTGGCTGTTCGGTAGTGAGAACATTTAATGACCTTGACTTCATAACGTGTTAAGAACTATGCTTGTTCTGTGAGACAGGAAGACAAACAGGATGATGTGACAGAACGTGATCTGGAGGGAGGGCTTCTACAGAATGGGTTCAAGAAAGGCCTCTGTAGAGGTGACGTTCAGACAGACACCTGAAAATGATGAGAGCCATGCGATGTGGTGCCACCACACCTGCCTGAGGAGACAGCAAGCATGATGGCTCTGAGGTGAAGGGTGTGGCTTGTTTCTGACGAACAGAAGGCTGAAGAAACTAGCAGGTAGTGAACAAGAGATGAAATTGGGATGTAGCAAAATCTTACCGTGTAAGGTTTCATAAACAGGTAAGTATGGATTGTATTTATATTTTATTACACCAAGCACTCTGGTTCCACTTTCTAGAATATTCCCAAGCCTTCATTTGGAAAAAAAAAAAAAAAACATTTAAAAGGCTCATTAGCCCAGCTGGCCTGGCCCAGTACTTGGGCGTCAACCTATGAACTGGGAGGTCACAGTTCAATTATGGGTAAGGGTACATGCCCAGATTTCCGGCCCCATCCCCAGTCGGGGAACTGCAGGAGGCAGCCAATCAATGTGTCATCATTGATGTTTCTATCTTTCCCTCTCCCTTCCTCTCTCTGAAAACAATACATATATTTTTAAAAAATTTAAAGGCTCATTAACTACAGCTACCAAAGAGCATGCCAGTGTCCACCTTAAATAACTCATAAAATTGGCTGAATGTTTAACACTAAAGATACTGTTTAACCTATCTCAGATTAGAATTTGTCAACTCCCACTACCCACTCGTCCATTTTGGTTTTTTGTTAATTCTATGCAATTATTTTCATCACCATATGTACGACTATAGTTCAGATTTGAAACCTTAGTATCATATTTGGTTGTTAACCCACATCATCAACTATAAGTGATTAACATCTGGATCTCCCAGTTACACCTTTTTTGTACTCAGCCACTTCCAGCCCAGGACATCATCCTATCAGGTAGGGGCAAGTGCAGTAATCTCTTAGCTGTTCACTTGGCCTTCAGCCTCTGTTTCGAGGCCAGCCTTCCCAAAGCTGCTATCGCCACTCCAATTACTTTCCAGTGAATCTTCATTACTGTCAATGTTATTACAGGCAATAATGTGTGTAAACATTGGAAAGGATGGTGCCAAATCATTTGTTGAAATGATTGTATTCCTAGCCAACCTAAGGAAATGAACTGAAATGCTATTGAATACATAAGGGAGGTCATTTTACAAATAAGAAACTGATGCAGAGAGAGGTTAAGTAGCTTACAAGCTAACAGGTGAAAGATCCAGGCAGTCAGCCCCCGGGGGCACATCTAACCCGCAGGCAAATGTTTAGTAAACACTCCCTGGAAGAGATGCAAGTGTTCTTCTAAAATCCCAGTTTCAGGGAGAGCTATTGCCTGGTGCCATGACTCCAACTAGTGGGCGCCCGGCCACGTCCCATGCACAGGCAGCCCCACCTGCGGACCCCGCCCGAGAGGCGGTCTGACCAGCGACAGCGACTGCGATGAGCGGTGAAGGCCGCTCCCTGCGGGCGCAGCGACCCGCCGAGTCTCCCCGCGCCAGTGCCTTCGCGGGTGTCAGAATTAAAACGCTCAGGTTCCACCGTGTGGGGTTCCCGGGCCACGTGGGCTTCGGGAGCACACCCGGCAAGGGTGGGCTCTGCCTGAAATACAACCAGCGTCCGCGGACAGCGCTCCCTCCCTCCGGGTTCCCGCGGGGAGTCCCGCGGCCAAAGCCAGGGGACAGCCGGGAGCCTAGGCCGGCCGCACGCGGTCCTCCGCAATCCCACGCTCCCTTGCGCCAAGGACACGTCCGACAGCTCCGCAGGGCCCTTCTACGCCACCGCGGCGCGTCTCTATGGTGCGTTGCCGCGTAGAGAGCGGGTGTCATGGCGGCCGGCGGCGAGTTGGCAGGAGTTGCCCACGGGACTGGGGGAAGTCACTAAAGCAGAGGAAGAAGTGGCCCGACTGGACAGTGGGAAGTCGCGGGAATGAGCAGAGGCCCCGCGAGGGCGACTGTGTTACAGGAGGCGGGCCCCCGGTAAAGCCCCAGGCCAGGCCTCTGTGCAGAACTGGACGTTGGTGGGAGCCCCCGAAGCCGGCGTTGCCTAGGAACCCCTCATTGTGCGGTCGAATCCTGAGTGTTTAGATTTCGGAGCGAAGGCAGCCGTTCGAAGACCTTTAGCGGGATCGTCTGACGGCGCTGGACGCTTTTTTCCGGAGCGGACCCGGTCGTTCTCTTAACCCGCAGCGATGTCGTCCTGGTTGGGGGGCCTCGGCTCCGGCCTGGGCCATTCCCTGGGTCAGGTCGGGGGCAGCCTGGCTTCCCTCACTGGCCAGATTTCAAACTTTACGAAGGATATGCTGATGGAGGGCACGGAGGAAGTGGAAGGTAACAGCCGGAGCGACGGGGGAGGGCTTTTCTGGGACCCAGGGAGCGTCCGTTTGGTCCCCACTCCCATCCGTCAGAGACGTGGCCGGGTCGCCGAGGAGTGTCACTCCGCCCCCTTTTTCTCTACTTTCCTCCTTTTGCTGCTTCTCAACCGGTTTTCTCCGATGAGAGACCCCTGACGCCCGGGGCAAGAGTTCTGGTTCTCCTCCCTTTAAACCCTCGGGCTGGCTCCGAGCGGCGCGAAACTGCTCCTAAGTTGAGAGTTTATTTTGTTTGGTTCATCCACGCCCACCGCTTACTTCGTCCTTAACGGGGGGGCGGAACTGATTTAGAATCTCTTCCTTTACACTGACAGTTAAAACAAATGGTTTGTGTAGGACACGTAGTCACTTTTTCCCTTCGATTTATGTAACAGTTGTAGTAACTCACGAAGTATTTCGTATCGCTCACCCTTGTCTGACTTGACTATATAGGGTGTCCCCCCAAAAAAAGTACACACGCGCTTTGAATAATTAGGAAGGCAGTGTTTATTAAAATACATTTCCTTTTCAGAATTGAGCTCTCAGCTGTTAAAGTGTGTGTATACTTTCTTTCTTGAGACACCCTGTATTGTGAGTGAAGCATAGCTATGTTTTTCCTATTAATTATTTTCTATTTTTGCGTATTCCGGTGACAGTGTTCCCATTGAAAATGTATTTTTCTGCCTAATTGCTCATTGCCCCAGTAGAACAAAGGAGATTCTCTATTCTTTGGGTATCCTTAGCAGCCTTCACTCATTTTTGAAGTCCTCCTTTTGTTTTACTGATGAATAGTGACTCAGAGTTGCATGGTAATCAATGGTTAAGTTAATTACTATTTTGACTTTTTAGTATTTCTTTCTGCAAGTAGTGTTTAGATCAAAAGAGTTCTTTTTTTATCATTTATTTTCTTTTATTATTTATTGATTTGATAGAGAGAAAGGAAGAGAAGCATCAATTTGTTGTTTCACTTATTTATGCATTCATTGGTTGGTTTCTTTTATGTCCCCTGACCAGAGATCCATCCCGAAACCTTGACAAAGTGGGATGATGCTCTAGCCAACTGAGCTACTGGGCCAGGGCTCAAAAGAGTTCTTCAATCTTAATCTGGGTCTACCTCCGGAGAAGTAACGAGCTGGACTTTTGGATAAGAGCAGTTCCTTTGACAGTTTTATTTTTTATACATTCTGGTTTAACTTTTTAAGTCCTGATTGAACTGAGCATTCATGTTTATTTGGCTGAAGTAAAGTTAGTTTGATAAAAAGGTAGTATTTATATTTAGAATTTCTGTGGGTCTATTTAAAGGGGAGGAAGGTTGGTGAACTGCCCAAGTCCATTTTACTGCTTGAGGTATCCCTTGGGTAGGAGGCACATCAGGTGGGGCAGGTTGGGAATGGGAGTGAAAAGGATTCTTCCTGTGTTCTGGAAAGAAAGGGTCATGTGAACTCAGAGGTAAGTCAGAAGCAGATAACATATATAACATGGAGAGTGACTAATCTCTCCTTGTATCCTACATTGGGGAAAACAGTTGGCAATTTCTTTGACTCTAAACCAGAAAGTATGCATACCCCCAACCTGCATGTCCTGCAGGCTTAAGGTGGAATTCATTTTTTTCTTCCCACGAGATATGTTCCTACATTCTCAGTCTTAATGATTTCACCATCTACCTAGCCTCCTAAAATGGAAATCTTTGTCATCTTTTCTTTGCCTCTTTCATCTCCTACTTCCAGTTGGTTACCAGATCATCCTGTGCCAGGAGTGTTTCTTATATCTGTCCTTTCCTTTATCACTCCTGTTTATTTGGTTCATATCCCCATGATCTTTCCCATGCACTGTTTCTCTTTCCCATCCTGTCATCCACTTCTCCCTACTCCACTCCATTTTCGGTTGTGTTGTCAGTTACTCTTCTAAAAACAAATGTGCTTTAAAATCTCTTGACCCTATTACTTACGGGATGAAATCCAAACCTCTTAGTGTTGGGAGACCAGAAACCTATCCTATCTGGATTCAACCTGCCTTTTCCAGTCTTACCTCTTGTTCCCTCCCCTTTTCCTCCAACTGCCAAACAAATGTGCATTCCATACACGTGCATGCTTGCACCCAGAGCTTGTGAGCTTATGCCACGTGGACTTTGCGTATCTACTTGAGGCCTCTGCATGGAAAGCTCTTCCTTTCCTACTTCCTCCTCTGTCCTCCTTTGCCTAGAAAACAATTTTTCCTATATGATCCTGCTCGCATGTCAGCTACTTGGTAAAACCACTCCATGGCAGGTTGAATTGATGGCAGGTGATGTGTGTTCTAACAGAACTTTGTGGATCTCTCCCTGACAGCACTTAGCATATTGAGTTATAATTTATCTCTTTCCTTGATGCTCAGGGTAGGGACTACTTTTTATTTTTCCTTATGTTACCAGTATGTGGCATCTTTCTTGGTACATAGTAAAGGCTCAGGAAAATTTTACTCAGTGATTCAAAATCTTCAAAGTTGCTTGATGCTTTTGTTTTCCTTTGTATGAAAATAGGACTTGCTTAACACCTAATTGCTGGTTTTGTAAATCATGGAAAAATAGGGTCAGAGTACAGTTCATTTATTCATGCAACAAGTATTTATTGAGTGTGCGTCCTGTGTCAGCAGTGAACAAGATAATAGTCCAAGAATAGCACTGGTAGTACAGCTTGAAAATCACCCATGTTTACAATATCAGAAAGTTGCTGTTCTACCAAACAGGCACTGTACTGATTTATTCAAGGTTAGGAGCTTGGGGTTTTAAGTCAGACATGGGTTGAAATTCTATTTCCTTGCATTAAAAATTGTGGGATCTTTGACTAATTATTAAGTACTTACCCTCTAACAGGCAGAGTTTCCTTATCTGTTAAACAGGGATGCTCATACCTGTTATGAGGCTGGGAGGATTAAGTGAAACCATGAGTGTAAAGCGCCTAGCACAGTGCCTAGCAAGCAGTGAGCACTAACAAAGGGTAGCTGTTGTTTCTGTTTTCCCTCATTGAGGAGGAGTCTTTTGGTCTGTATAACATCTCCCCTTTATTCTTAAAAAGGCCAGGATTTTTGGGGGGAGGTGAGAGCAGGAGGTTTGCATTAACCATTTTTTATTCCTCTTTGAAATGATTGCTGCTTCCATAATTCCTTTCCTAAACAGATTAGATTTAATTTTGCTTCTGAGTAGCAATTAGTCCTGTCAGAGTTTTAAGCAAGATGTATAAACCACCACAGAAGCAACCGCACCTGGTGATTTTCAAAACAAGTAGAGTGGGTTTGTCACTTTTATGGGATGCCACTTGTATTTTCTTTTAATTTAAACTAATTCAGAGAACTTATTTTTCTAATATTAAAGTGGTGTGAGTAATGAAAATTACGAGTATACTTAGGAAAAACCTAACTGTGGATGATAATTTTCTGGCCGCATCAATGGTGCCATTTTGCCACCTCTGGCCTCTGAGTCTTCTCTTAAATGGAAATGTACAAAATCAGACTGAGCTATTCCTACTTTAAATTGTGTATATTATTTGAAATAAGTGTTATTTTAGTGTATTTTCATTCTTTGTTTATAGGTCATTAATTATTTGAGTACTGAGAGCAGAAATTAGAAATAAGACCTTAAGCCCCAGTTGCATAAATTTCATCTAAACAGAGAGATTGAATTTGTAAAACTTGATTTTCCAAATTTTAATGAACAGTTCCAAGGGATAAAGGTAGACATCCTAGGGTGTAAGATAGGCAAAAAGAATGACTTCTCTGACAATGAAGAACATTTGTGGCAGTAGGAAGTTGTTATGAAACCAAGTGATATTTATCTTCTGAATGTGTTCTGGGATCAGCATACCATTCTGTTTAAAGCTCAGTGCAATATATTTCCCTTACCATGCCTGTTTATCAATTTATATGGTGTTGATCAAATATTCAGTATGTGCTGTTTCTTTTGTAGCAGAATTACCTAATTCTAGGAGAAAGGAAATTGAAGCCATTCATGCAATCTTAAGATCAGAGGTAAGGAAAATTAAAGACTACTATTGAACTTAGGTTTTTTTCTTTTTCAAAGCCATGAAAGTTATTCATGCTTTATTTCAGTCCTCTCTTTTTAATGCACTCCTTACCACTTTTTATCTCTTGCTCTTTATTTAAGTTTTTTAAAGCATTACCATCTTCCTTTAGATGAAGAATATATATATATATATATATATATATGTTATTGCACTTTGCTGTTTAATATTCCCATCTCTGCTTCTATATGCTGGGAGTAGGAAAACTGCAAAATGTAGAAATAATAGTGCCAACAATTTATCATTGTCAAGGATTTACTATGTTCTGACAGTGTGCTAAATTGCAGTATCACATTTAAGTATAAATTCTTTTAAATCTAGAGCTTTTAAGTTCCCTAACATTAAAAAAGTATGATATTTGAATACCAGGAAGTTAATAATATAAGAATAGCAAATTAATTTTATCATCTTTTTCATTATTAGTGTCTTTTGGTGACTAGCTCTGGACATTGTACATACTTAATAGGGTTGAAGAAAACTTGGAAAGGGTTCAAAGGAAAGCCACAAAGAACTTGGAAGGATTTAAAGTGAGATCTATTGTAAAGTATGAAACATTTCAATAATTTAGTCTTTGGATAAGAGCAGTGAGGGAACACTTAATCATATTTCAGCAAAAGATATTTTTAGAGGACTGTGGTAAGCATGTTTTCCTATCTGTTAAGCCCATAAAAAGAGAAAATTGAATTTAAATATAAAAAAGTATTTACTTACAACAAGCATTTTTGAGTTCTGGTCGAGATTACCAATGTGAGATTGTGGAATTTGAAAATAGGGGGACCTCTCAAGAGGAATTACAGTAGTCTGCCTCAAGAGAAGATGGCAGTTTGGTGGTACTTAAGAGACATTAGCTGCAATTACCTAATAAATAGGTGCTTTAGTGACAGGTGAACTTAATGGCATCTTTGTTTGTAAGGCTGAGATAGGAAATTGTTCCTGTATTCCCTAGAGAAATCTTTAGTACAGGCCCACCCAGAAAAATTATATGGCAGAGTTGTGTGCAGTGGTATCACTTTAGGCAAATTCGCCAGTTTACATTTTGGGGGGGAAAGTAAATAGGGTTAACCAGCTTAATGAGCATCTGCTCTGTATTGAGCTGGAGAAGGGAGATAGAAACCTTCTATCCCTCTTTGATGTCAGGCTTAATCTTTCATAATGTTATCATTGGGCTACATGGCAAATATGATTCTAGTGTTTAGAAATATATATTTTTAGTATAACACATCCCCAAATGAAAGCCAGCTTCTTCATTTGGTGCTTATGCAAAGTAATGTGAGCTCCTCAAGTACTAGAGGAAAACACACCATTGGACTTCCCAAGGGCTTTATTTTCTAAGGTGATTTTAACTATACATGATTCTTTCTTTAGGTCCGCACATAAGCATTTCACACCCTAAGCCCTTATGTGACTGAACAGTGAGAGAATAAAGCGAAGATATGATTGAAGCTGTCAGGAAACTTACAATGTAAAGTTCTATTTAGAAAGTTGTAGTTTAGACAGAGGGCAGTGTGTTTTCCAGAGGAAATTAGATTTGTGTACAGATGTTAATGTTTGAAGGAGACTGAATAAATTGGGGTTCTTTCGTTGCAAGTAACAGCAGCCAACCTAAGCAAATGTAACCCTTTATGCCAAGAAAAACAGTTATCACATTTACCGTCTGCATCCAATGGGCTCTTTTAATTTTTTTTAATATCAAATCATTTTACAAGTAATTTACAGAAGTAAGAATAAAGTCATAGTGAAAAACTTTATTAGACATTCTAATAAGAACTTATATATAGCAAATCCAGATTTCTATATGCTTCTGGTTTTAAAAACATATACTCAAAATAGGCAATGTTCTTTGAATGCAATTTCCTGCTTACTAGCTCTTAATGCATGAACTGGAATGTATCTTATTTTGTAAATCCTGATTCTACATTCACTTACATTTCTAATAGAATTTAGCTTATTATTTCTGGTTCTTATTTTTACTTGTATTATTAGATACAATACTTTTGAAAACTCTAATGGTTCATGATTTTGTTGAAGAGACAATGGGTTGTCATCTTTGATCCATAATTACAAAGCATTTTTATTCTTAGATTTATAAATACCAATTTAAATGATCAATCCTTTGAATTTTTTTCATTTTTATGTTATCTGTTTCCTCCAAATTACTTGCCTTCAGCATTTGTTCATGTATGAACTGTATCAAGTAAATGTTCAAATGTTCATATGGAAGAATACTGTCACATATCCATTTAGCACAGTAGGCATGGCTCAGGTCCTTGTCAAAAAATATTGTGAGCCCTAGCCGGTTAGAGTGTCAGCCTAAGGACTGAAGGGTCCTGGGTTTGATTCCTGCCAAGGGCATGTACCTCGGCTGCAGGTTCGATCCCCGGCCCCATGCAGGAGACAACCAATGGATGTGTCTCTCTCACAACAATGTTTCCCTCTCTCCCTCCCTCCCTTTCTCTCTCTTTCTCTCTCTCTTTTCCCCACTTCCACTCTCTGAAAAGCAATGGAAAAAAATTATCCTCAGGTGAGGATTTAAAAAATATATATATTGTGAGATAAAGTCTTTTCTTATTGAATGACTAATTTGATGAGAACACCATTTCCTTTTTTTTCTTAGGCATGTATTGCTCACCTATCAATTCTTGAGTTTGAGAAAATTTACTTAGGAAATTGTTATTTGAAGACTGGTCTGAGATTTTGCTTCTACACTCAGTTTCACTCTAATAGTTAGACTCTAGAGTGCTGTTTTCTGTATCTTTGCATTGATCTTGGTTGTGTAATAATTGTTTAATATTTTTCTCTGTTCTCTTTGTTGAAAAGTGAAATTTTTGAATTTTCAACTGTGTTCAATGAAAGCAAAAAAAAAACACCACCAAAACCCTACAAGATATCTCCAGATAGCTTTTATCTTTTTAAAAGATGATGCAATACTTTGCACAGTGCAGTCAGGAAACTGGTTATTTCACTATTGCATCATTCTTTTATGTGATTCCATCAGTCTTTCATTTTCTTATTAAGTCTTTTTTAGCATAGTAAGGAATAATTGATGAATAATGATAAAATAATTCTTCGGATGATAAAATAGCAAAATGTTTCAAGATACAGAAAACACAAGATCATTATGATCCCATGATTATGCTTAGACTTATAAAAGGGCTCAGTGTATCCAGTGGTAATTGCAAGATAGAATGAGTTTTATTCTGTTAAAAAAATAAGTGAATTTTCTGTGTTTATTGGAAGACCTCTAAAAAAGAAGAAAAGGCTTGCATATCCTTTTAGATAGTTAGGACTACTGAGAAAAGAAATTCACAAGCTAAAATTAGTACCAGGAGATCGTGATGGTATAAGGATGAAGCAGGATGGAGTAATTTAAGGATAAGAGTAGCTCATGGATTCCAAGGGCAGAAATTGTAGCCCGTCTTTGAGAAGGATCTGCAGCCAGAGCTGGAAGCCTTCGGGAACCTGTCTCTCTCCCCATTGCTCTTCTCCTCTTTGTGTGTATTTATTGTCTCCTTTCAGACCAGCCCTCTGCTCCATATTCCACATAATAGGAAATGGCCCATACGCTCCTGGTGTGTCTCAAGTCAGCACGTGAAAAGAGTCTGTCCTTCCTGTGCCTTCTCAGCCTTCCTGAGTGACTCACATGGCCAGGGAGATGGCCAGTTAGGTAGTAGCCAAATCGCAGGTTTCTGAGCTCTAGTTATGAGAGTTAAACAACTAGCTTTAGGTATTGTATGTGAAAAGGCCTAGAGTGACTTTCATGATGAGGTTTTGACTTCCTGTTGCTTCAGTTATGTATGGTGTTTTCCATGTTAACAGAAAGTCACGTAAAAGCATCTGATAGAATAGAAAGTAATCAGTTGTGTGACCACTGGTCCTGTTTCTTATTTCTTCAGCATAACCAAGGTCTCTGTTAGATTTCTGGAGATAGTGTCCCAAACTAGGATTTGTGTGTGTGGTAATTTTTCCATTAATTCACTCCACTGATTTTCTGTGGGAATTAATATAATCTCCCTGAATCATAATTTTCACATTTGTCAATATTAGAAATTCCTAGAATATAAGAAATAGATGACATCTGCAAAGTGAAGCCTCCACCTTCTAGCAGCAGCTCTCTTTTCCACCATCAGTCTCCTTATTCTGTTATTGTTAAGCTATGTTTGTAGATATATTAGTAGAATTCTTAGTGAATTATTATCTGTAATAATGTGTAAATTCCTTTTTGTAAAAAAAAGTTTTAGTGTCCATTTCTCTTACTCCATTATGTATTCATTCAGATTTCAGAGAATGATAATAGGTCAAGATAATTTAATATTTAGGTACATAAAATTTAAGTAATTTTTTTCATACATGTCAGCATCTTAAAACAAAGGACTATGATACCTAGATTCATTGAATTATACTTAGAGTGTTTGTGTACTTCTAACTGTAGTTTTTTAAACCAGGTAGTTTTCACATCGGGTTTTTCAGAGGTGCCTCAGGAGCCTCTGGGGTTCAGGCAGACAAGTGATATGAGGCTTTGGCCTGATCTGTACTTCAGCCAGAAGTATTTTTAAAAGAGATTTCTTTTAAAAAGTTCTGTTTGGAGAGAAAACAAAAGTTTAAACATGTAATCTAGTTCATTTATACCAGACATTTGCTGCCTACTATGTGCTAGACATTGGTTATACAAAGATGGAGGAAACATTGATCAGCAGCTTTTTCTTAGCAGAAAATCAAACTGAACAAGATTTATTTTTTAATTTTGGCTCAGAATTATTTATAGTCTGTAGAAACATGCTTATTGCAGTAGAAACTTTAATGAAATGTGTATTTTAAAGGCCAGAATTCTGTCCTCTATGAATTTTTTAAATTTTGCGTCTTTTTTTATATGAAGCAATGTTTTTTATAATGCCACGCATATAACTGTTACTAACATGTTTCACTTTTTAGTGTTTTTGTTAAAATACTTTTTTCTTTGCTTCTAGAATGAAAGACTAAAGAAACTTTGTGCTGATCTAGAAGAAAAGCATGAAGCTTCAGAGATTCAAATAAAGCATCAATCTACAAGTTATCGAAATCAACTACAACAGAAAGAGGTAAAGGTTATTACAGTTACTTCATACTTATTTCACTCTAAGGCATTTAGGAAGTTTTTAAGAGCTATAATATAAATCAAGCTATATTTAGATCCATAAAAATATTGAAAGAGTGTTGAAGTTAATAATTACCAATTCAGTTGATATCACTAATTTAAGAAGAACTCTGTAAGCCTTTTTTATTATGCTTGTGTTACATAAACTCACCTTTGTGGAGTTTAATTTCTGCTTTCCAAAAGAAGGAAAGTCCCTGTATAAAATATCTTTAGGCATCTGTTGCTTATAATTTCTCATTTTATGAAACCTATTTTCTTATCTGTTTACTTAAAATTGTTTGAAATAAGTGTGATCATTGCTAATTTTAACTACAAGTGCTAATATATGCTATACTGGTATTTACTTGATTTTCCATGGAAAAACAGAATATTAAGTATTTTATAGTGGACTTATACTGTTCTGTAAATTTCTTCTCCTTTAGTTTGATAGAAATAGTTATTTTGGAATTGGCTTATCTTTTCTTTGTAGTACTGGTAATGGATATTATACAATATAACCAATGTCATGAATCCTTAAAATATAGACTATGTCTCTGTTTTTCATTCTGTTGTCGAATTCTCTTTAGTGTTCAGTACTAACTAGAATTCGGTAATACTTCTATTTAATAGAACCATTTCTTGTTTCATTATCTAGATCATTTGGGTGTTCTTCATTTTGCTGATGAAATGTTCATTTCTGCCATAAATTCATATTTGGGTTTTTAAAATTTAGATGCACTGATTTCTAGTTCCTTTAGTAGCATATTAAGATGAAAAATTAAAACAAACCACATTAAAGATAAATATAAACACTTAAAGAAGAACTTAATTTCCAGTCTGTTGGGAATTTCTTAAAATGAATTACTACCAAAAAAAGAATATAAAAAAGCGTAACTACAAGTACAAATTAAAGTTAAATGCCTACCTTATTTTAAAAGGCTCAACTGATATAAAATTACTCTGTCACATTGCTTTAAAAGTCTCTAAGCCTTACTTTTTGAATTTATGTACTTTCCATGGACAGGTAGCAAACATTCATGGCATAAGTCCGCACACCACACTTTGAGTAGCACTGACATAGATATTACAGCAGAGCAATAGTTCCCACCCAGGGGTTTACAGCTGAATCATAAGTGACACTTAAAAAATACACAGGCTCATGTTTTCCAGGAGATTCTAATTTAGCATACTGAAAAGAGGCCCTGGGATTGGTATTTTTTGAAAACTCCATAGGTGGTTTCAGTGCTTACATCCTAGTTGAAAACATTGCTGTGGAAAATTTTTTATATTAGAGGGCAAATTAAGCATTCAAGTTTAGAGATGCCTCTTTGTTATTAGAGCTTACGCTTTTTAACTCTACAACTTGATATAAGTGTTTGGTGTATAATGAGAACTTTCTTTGTATTATAGCTACATTTGAAAAACATTGTGGATTTTAGTACTTTTTACCAGAATGGAAGATAATATATGAATATACTTTATCAGAATCTATTTGCTGTCCTCACTGTGATCTTTATATTCCCTAAAGATGCAATTTACCTCGTATCATATTATTGGAAAATGAATGAAATCTATGAACTACTATTAGAACCTCCATTAGAGAAGGAACTCTGATGTGAAAACCTTGTTTGTTATGACATTTGACATATTTGTGTCTGATTTTTGTTTGTCTAGTTGCTTGACATGCACATTTAGTAATACTGTATTACTTGTTGGCTTGTCTCTTCAAGTATCCAGTTTTCCTCAGCTGTGGCAGGGTGTCTTCTGGACTAGCTTGAATGTTTTAGAAAGCTTATTTCAGTTCTTTCTAGCCTACTTCTATGTTTTGTCTCAGAATGGATTTGACATTATGGTTAAGTCCTCTGTTCACAACTTCTTTTGGACAATGACTTGTCAACACTCTGCTCAGGGTTTTAGAGTGTTTAAACTGTTCTCTCCCTGAGTAGAGTCAAATTTTCACTGGCCCTTCTTTGCCAAGACTAAAGCCAAGGTGTCTGTTAGTGCACAATTTCCTTCTCAGACTCACAAGCCAGTAACCACAGACTCACTGTTACCTTATCTGAGGAGACTTGATTAATAAATCAAAGCATTCTACCTGCTGTATTGTACAGACCACTACAAAGTCACTCCTGATTCATGGTGCATTTTAAGCCTAAATCCAGCTTCCACTCTCTCATCTTTTGAAATCTGATAATCACACACAGAACTCTGAGGAATTGCCTATCCTACCTGATACATAGAAGCTAGTAAACTCATGTTTAACTGAGGAATTCATTGCTTTGGTTACTACATGAGTGAAATTCTGATCTTCATACTATTCAAAACATTATCTATGCTTTAAGTCTGGTGATTATGTTTGCTTTTTAAATAAAAATGTTGTGGTTGGGATGTTACAGAAGTCTTGGATTCAGTTGATAAGCGTATCATCATTGGATAATGTTAAATTATTATGACTTTTAATATTATGAATCTATGGTATGTTAAAGTACCTTCTCTAAAATATGGATTATGAATATATAGGTAGAAATCAGCCATCTTAAAGCAAGACAGATTGCACTACAGGATCAATTGCTGAAGCTGCAGTCTGCTGCTCAGTCTGTAAATTCCGGAGCTGGCAGTGTACCAACAACCACTGCATCATCTTCATTCAGTTATGGTGTCAGTCATCATGCTGCAGCTTTCCATGATGATGACATGGACTTTGGTGACTTAATTTCATCACAACAAGAAATAAACAGATTGTCAAATGAAATTTCAAGACTTGAATCAGAAGTTATACATTGGAGGCATATTGCTCAGGTAGGTAAACTTTTCATGAATTTTTAGAAACGATGAGAGTGAAAATACTGGTGCTATGTGTAGAGCTTTTGGTATCAAAGTACTCTGGATTAGGAAATTGAAACCTATATTCTAGTTCTGTCAGTAACTTTCTAAGTGATTTTAATCAGGTTATCTTTCTCAGCTTCAGTTTCCCCTTCTGCACAACATTGGGAAGAAATTTTCAAAATAAAAATGGTGTTTCTACAGTTGAACCAGCACCTTTTCCCCTGGAGTTCGTAAGGCTTCACTGCTGGAAATCAGGGCTTCAAGGCACGAGATTTGAAACTACTTGCTTAGATATTGTCTGAGGTTTCTGTTTGCATTAATTATATGTAAAATTAAAGTCTGATAATTGGTATTATAAATATGTTAAACTATTTTGTGTTGTTTCCTGTGCACTAGAAATTAAATACTTGCTATTTTGGGCTGCAAACTTTCTTCCAGGTAATGCTTTTTTTGTCTTACATATCAGATTTTGTATATGCTACTAAGGTTGTCAATAGACATGAGATTCAAAATAAACTGGGACATTGTTCATATGGATTTAATTTCATCAATGTAGGGAAAAATAAAGTATTTTCTACCTTTTTGTGAGTGTAACTTAATTATGTAAAGGAAAAATCCTCCCAATTAAAATGATCTTTTTGCTCCCCAAGTTGCTAGACATTTCTGATACCCAGAGTAAATCTAGAGAGAATAATCTGTCCATTTTATCTCTAAAAAGTAGTTCTTGAGCTTTATATGTGTAAGAATAACCTGGGGACTTGATAGCATTGTAGATTCCCTGCCTCCCTTCAGAGATTAGGATTTTGTAGCCTATTTTGAGGCGTTGAAAACTGCATTCCAACAAATAAATATCCCAGGTGATTCTGATAATAGGAGTAATACACTTTTAAGAAACATTGCTTAGGGTCAGATTTCATAAGGAAGAGATGGATTATTCATGTGTTTACTTAAGCATACCTTGAATGCCTACCAAATGACATACCTGTACTGGGATATAAAGGTAAAAAGACATAATTGGGACCTTTCAGGGAACTTAATTTTCTAGCAATGCATAATAAAAGTTAATATTTGTATTATACTTTTCAAGATGTGATTAAGTTGTGATGCAAACACTTCTTTCTACTCCAGATCCTATGTTTTTTCCATTATACTGTGTTCCTTTTTCTTCCTTTCTTTCTTTGTTTTTTTGAATTTTTTAAAAATTGATTTTTTGAGAGCGAGGAAGGGACAGGGAGAGAGAGAGAGAAACATTCATTGGCTGCCTCCTACATGCCCTCTACCGGAGATTGAGCCTGAAACCCAAGCACGTGCCCTGGGAAGATGCCCAACCAACTGATAAGCCACACTGGCCAGGGCTACTGTGTTCCTCTTAATCCAGAGAGCAGCTTTTGGTTCCATAACACACTATATAATAAATGTTAATAGAAGTAAATGAGCAGCATACAGCTTTGAATGAGAAGACTCCAAAAGTTCTTTTATTGTCATACCAAAGGTTATTCTATATAAGGGTAGAGATCTTCTGGGTAAAATCATTTAAAAAAAATTTTTATTGCTATTATTAGCATTAATATTGGATAACTTTTTATTTTAAAAATTACCTTTTAGGAAACTGATTATCATCAAATATACATTTTTTTTTAAAGTAAGTAGAATATTCTATGGTGTTTTCCTTCTTATTTTGTAAAACTGTTGTCTCCCCAATTAGCTAACATACTCTTGAATGGTATCTTTTATGTAGTATATATTACTCACTATTGGACTAGGTTTCTTCAAGAGTGTTTGGCATTCTTTAATCCAAATTTGTCTTGGAAATGCCCCATTTTTGAAAAGTATCTTCTACTTAGTCTGTGATTCTCTTTTTTATAAGAAAATCAATGTAATTTTCTAATTCTGTTTTTCTAATCTAGGTTTCTAAAGCACAAGGATCAAACAGCTCTGATCAAAGTGAAATCTGCAAATTGCAAGATATCATTAAAGTAAGGCAGATTGTTAGAACAATGATTATTATACACTTAAAATTTGCTTATGAAAATTACAAAAGTAACTATATTGAATATGATACTCATTTCTTTTTACTGTCTTGTATCTTTATTTGATAAGTAAGGTATATAAATATATCTCTCTAAAACCATTTGTTTTGAACATTTATTTATTAGGTAGTTTATATTCCGTGTCTCTGTTTTCTGTTGTATTTCACAAAATTGTCTTTATTAAAACAGAATTCCAAGGTTGCTGAAGTTTCAAGGTTTGGGGTTAAAGGATGTTGACAAAATAAATGCTAATGTTATTTGTTACAAGTAATTATTTTCTTTTAATGGTGGGATTTTGCTTGTTTGTATCGATTATTTCCTGTAAGAAAAGTCTTAATTACATATACTTATCATGGCAATGAATTGTTTTTAGTGTGTGTAGAATTTTTAGTTTTTGGTTTTAGTGTTATTATAGTACTAGTGTGGGTGGGTTCCTGAGTCAGACCTATGTTTGAATCCAGGCCCTACTCTTTACAAGCTGTGCTTCTTTGGGCAACTTCCATTTTATTGTCGGTAAAGTAGATGTCATCATAATACCTCCTTTATAGAATTGTTTTGAAGAGTAAATGTAAAGCTCCTTCCCAAGTGCTGGCACCTAAGTGCATAGGAATAAAGAATAACTTCACCTGTCTTCTCAGGAAATAGAAGATAATGTATATTTATTTATTTATTTTCTTTTTAAATTGTCTTTATTGATTTCAGAGAGAGGAAGGGAGAGGAAGAGAGAGAGATAGAAACATCAATGAGAGAGAATCATTGATCGGCTGCCTCTTGCATACCGCTTACTGGGGATCAAGCACGAAACCCAGGCATGTGCCCTAACCGGGAATCGAACCTCGATCTCCTGGTTTATAGGTTGATGATCAGTCACAGAGCCACATTGGCCAGATTAGGATTCTTCATTATAAGCAACAAAAACGGTCTCTGGCTAAGTAAAGCAAAAGAGGATTGATTGATTGAATGAATGATTGGAAGAACCCAGGGTAATTTGTTCACAGGATTGAAGGAAAAGTTGAGCATTTTGGCCTCAGAAAAGACAGGAATGGGACTAGCATCAAGGATCTAGGTAGTGGGACACAGTGGATGGACTCTTTAGGGTGTGGCTGTCATGATGCTTCTAGTTAAGCAGCTTCTCTTTTTGAGAGACTCAGCCCAAGATCTAGCTTTCTAGGAGAGAGACTGGTGGTCTCAACTTGGGTAGCAAGGCACCTTGGTTGACAGTCTTGGGATTCCCAGCAAGACTGATGGAAGGAAGAACTGAGTAGGAGGACGGGGTATTAGGACAATAGTCACACATTGGCTAGAAGATTGACATTGATATTGGTGGAATGTCATTAGTAGGAGAAGTTCATGCTCACAGATGCCAAGGAAAAAAGATATCTTTGCTCACTTTTTGTTTCAGTTTTTTTCTTGCTGGTATTCCATCATTAAAAGTAGAAAAACTGTTTTTAAGGCCCAAGAAAGGAAAGGGTGGAGTCTCAGAGTTGTCCAAATTTTGGGCCTGTGTTTAAATTTTTTTCAGTCTTAGCACATTCGGAGAATTATTTTTAATAATACAGATTTACAAAAATGAAATAGGTAAGTTCATTGATTATTAATGTGGTTAACTTTGTTTTTATTTTTTCAGGAACTTAAACAGAACCGAAGTCAGGAAATTGATGATCATCAACATGAAATGTCAGTATTACAGAATGCACATCAACAGAAATTGGCAGAAATAACTCGTCGGCATCGAGAAGAATTAAGTGATTATGAAGAACGAATTGAAGAACTGGAAAATCTGTTACAACAAGGTTCTTAATTTCATTAGTTTAACATGTTAGGTGACATAATTAAATGAGAAACCTAGCACTGTAAAATCAGGACACTGATGTAAAGCTGGACAGAGTTCTAAAGGAGTAAATGACTAGTTCTGCTCATCGGCCAGCAATTGGCATCATGATCCTGCAAGAATGGAAAGGTCCTTTGTCCTTCGTGATAACAAGTTATAATACAGAGACTTTTTTGCATTGTTTGGTGCATTTTCACTTTCTTTCAAACTCAGATACATAGGCTTTTTTAGTATTTGTTTCAAATAATATCTTTCCTCAACTATTTTTGAATGCTTTGCTTATTGTAGTTATTTGTTTTTTTAGACTTATTTTTTTTTTTAGAGCACTTTTAGATTTACAACAAAATTGAGAAGGAGATAACGGAGATTTCCCTTATACTCCCTGTCCTCCCTCACCTGCCAGTGCATATTCTCCCCGACCATCAACATCTTTCAGCAGGATGGTACTTTTTTATTTTTTTTTAAACCAAGGATGAAACTACCTTGACACATAATTGCCCAAAGTCCATAATTTACTTTAGGGTTCATTCTTGGTGTACAATCTATAGATTTGGACAAATGTATAATATACTAACGTGTCCATCATTATAATGTCATACAGTCTTTTCACTGCCCTGAAAACCCTCTGTGCTCTGCCTCCTCATCTCCCTCTTTATCCCCTGCAACTGATCTCTTTATTGCCGCCATAGTTTTGCCTATTCCAGAATTGTTATTATGGTTGGACTCATATAGCCTTTTCAGATTGATTCTTTCACTTAGTAATATGCTTTTAAGTTTCATTCATGTTTTTTCATGGCTTGATAACTCCTTTTTATTTATTTTATTTATTTATTTTTCATTCTATTATTATTTTTTTTAATTCTCACCCAAGGATATTTTTCTGTCGCTTTTCAGAGAGAGTGGAAGGGGCGGGGGGCGGAGAGAGAGAGAGCAAGCGAGTGAAACATTGATATGAAAGAGACACATTGATTGGTTGCCTCCTACATGCACTCCGACCAGGGCTGGGGATCGAGCCTGCAACCAAGGTACATGCCTTTAGCTGCAATCGAACCCGGGACCCTTTAGTCCGCAGACCAATGCTTTAACCACTTGAGCCAAACCAGCTAGGGCTCATTTCTTTTTAGCACTAAAAACTATTCCATTGTCTGGATGTACTATAGTTTATTAATCCATTCCCCTTCTGAAGGACATTTTGATTGCTTTCAAGTTTTGACAATTGTGAATAAAGTTGCTGTAAACATCCTTGTTGGGGTTTTTTTGTGGATTTAAGTTTTCAGCCCCTTTGGATAAATACCAGGGAGTATGATTGCTGGGTCATATGATAAGAATATGTTTGTTCTGTAAGAAATCACTAAACTATCTTTCAAAGGGGCTGTACCATTTTGCATTCCCATAAGCAGTGAAGGAGAGTTCCTGTTGCTCCACATCCTCACCAGCATTTGTTGGTGTTAGTGTTCTGGTTTTTGATCTAATAGGAGTGTGGTGTTACATCATTATTTTAACTTTCAGGCCTCCAAGTTCTGAAGTTTATGAGATCTTAGTTGTATATAGCAAGCTATTTACCTCCTGTACAATTGTTGTCCTTGATTTTATGTTTATGTTCTAGGTGGCTCAGGAACTGCGGTAATTGATCACTCTAAAATCCATGAGATGCAGAGAACTATTCAAGTTCTGCAAACTGAAAAAGTAGAGTCTACAAAAAAAATCGAAGAACTTGAGGATCAAATAAAAGATTTAAGTAGAAAATTATCTTCTTCAGAAAATGACAGAGAAGTTTTGAGGAAGGAACAAGAACGACTAAATGTGGAAAACAGGCAAATAATGAAAGAGTGTGAAAGCTCGGAAGTGGAGTGTAGTACATTGCAGCTTTGTGCTGTGAAGCAGAGTGAAACCGCGAAGGAAGAGGAAGGCATCCTTCCACAGGGGGCGGCGCTGGACGAAGTGCTTAGACTGCAGCAAGCACTGTCGGGTATAAAATGTTTGGAACTTATTTCTGATTGGTGTTTCATTGCATACTAGTGTTTTTAGAGACAACTAGCACTTTGTGTAACTGAGTATTTTGTGGAAATAGAATATTCATGGAAATGGCTGGAATTTGAATGGAATTGTTTGGTTTAGATTCACTGCCATAATAGATCACAAATAGGAATTTTCTACTAAAAAGGGTTAAGTATTGGCTAAGGTGTCTGCCTCTTAACCTCTTTTCCTCATCTTTTAAGTATTTACATGGAACTCATTGACTTAGGAGCCATGTAGATTTCTGAGAAATGTTTGTACAAACATTTGTTGAGAGGAGCAATGGGTCTGTTTCTGTTAATCTACATAGAACCAAGTGTTTCCTATAACTCACTAGGGCCTGGAACCTCCAGTCAGGGACTGCAGCCTACCTTCTTCAGAATCTTGTGTGACCTTTCGAAATGACCTCCAGAATCTAAGCAAACCTGAGTGATAAAACCATAGGTCTTCTACCATTGTCCATGCTCCAGGTGATATTTAGTTTCCATACCAGTGTTCCATGTTACAAAAAAGAAGTATTAAATGAAACAGGCCAGCCCAGCTGGGCGTGGCTCAGCGGCTGAGCATCGACCTAGGATCCAGGAGTTGGCTGTTCCATTCCCGGTCAGGGCACACGCCCGGGTTTTGGGCTCAATCCCCATTGGGAGCATGCAGAAGGCAGCCGATCAGTGGCAACTGTCTCATCATTAATGTTTCTCTTTCTCTCTCTCTCCCTCTCCCTTCCTCTCTCTGAAATCAATAAAGATATATTAAAAAAAATAAAATAAATAGGCCAAGCAGCAGTATTCATTGTATGCCAGGAAAACATAATGGGAGCTCTTTGGCTGAAAAGATGCATCTTATTTTCCACTGTGTCCTCCTCTCAGTACAAACTCTCGCTGTATGAACTCATACGTTCCTGCTCTGGACGCCCCCCTCCCCCCCAGATCTGTATTCCTTGTCTAGTTGTTTATCATGAATTCCTGACCTGGATGGCCAAGTCTGTAAATTTAAATTTGTTAGGTTCAAGGTAACGTCTCCATGTCTTCTCCTTTTCCTACCTTGGTAATTGGTAGCACTTACCAGTCTCCCAAAACAGAAAATTTGAAGTTAACTGTAGGTTCATAGTATTTCAGTATTGTTTCCCAAAGGAGCTCTAGGGTTTCTCACAGGTACTTTAGTCCTGGGAGCTGCTATGAAGGCAAAGGGAAGGCTGTGCGGTTAGATTCTGGACTTCTTTCTCACTTGACTTCAAAGTAGCTCTGGTCTTTTCAAAATATATTTATTTAATGTGTCAGGTGGTACGTATGAGTTTATTTGCTTTAAAAACAAATCTCTTGCCCTAGGCCTTCCGTTTCTTTCATTTCCACTGCCAATGAATAACTTTAGCCAGTCATAACTTTTTTTGTGTGACCTGGTTAACTTTCAAAGTCTCCGAATGAGGCAGGATAGCTTAATGGTTAAGAACATGATGGAGTTGGAATCCAGCTCCTTCACTAACTTGCTGACCTTGGGCAAGTTAATTTTTTGTTTTTTCCATCTGTGTAGTTGCGATGATATCTTCATAGCTGTAGTAGTAATGAGGATTTTACGAGTTACTAGCTGCAAGGTTCTCTTTAGGATAGTTTCTAGCCCACAGTAAGCATTATAAAAATGTTAGCTGTTATTATTCTCTGGTCTCCATGATCACTCCTTCAAACAATTTTGTTTTTTAAACTTTTATTGAGAGAGAAGAATACCAAGGGGCCGTCCACCAGAGGTTCTTTAGCCTCAGACCTCAGGATGTGGGGCCCCCAGGCCCGTTAGGAAAGGACTAGTATAAGGTTCCATGGCCAAGCCACCTGGATGCCATGCTGAGCTGCAGATCCGGGGCCCATGTTTCTAGGTTGAGGCCTGACTGGTGGACTCACAGGCAAGGCGTGCAGTCCCCACAGTCTGGTCTTCAGGGGTGTTCCCCATGGAGCAGGTCTATACTTTCTGGAAGAGCCACGGGGCAGATGTACTGTGTAATGTCGCTGGTTGGTGTCCATCTTGGAGAGCACTGCTTGGGGAAGATCCGCATGGCAGTGGGCTGCTAATGCTACCAGGCAGATGAGGACATCACTCAGCTGCTCTTGATGTGCTGCCCATTCCTTGGGGACCAGGCTCCTCCTCAGGCTTCCACTGAAAGAGTTCTGCCAGTTCCCCATTCCCACCACCAAAGCCAGGAGGAGGTTCCGAGCTGGTGGAACTGGTCCCAGTCCCTTTCAGCAGCAAAGTCTGCATGGAGGCGGCAGATGTCCTCGAGTGTGGGCTCCAGGCTGAAGCTGAAGGGGCTGGCAGCATCAGTGCCCTCTCCCCCCGTGTCCCCACGCTTCTCCCCGCCCACAGTGGACGTGTCGCCCACACTCAGCTTGGAGCATGCCTCAACAATTTTCCTTTTGCAGCCAGAATGATTTTTCAGAAATTCAAAGCAGGTTACTTTCCTAACTAGTACTTTGTGGCTCCCTGTGAACTTCAGGATAAAGTTTAAACTTGATCAGACATGTAATGTCTTAATGCTCCGTTCCCTATCTACCTCTTCAGTTTCAACTCTTCCTATTCTAACATTCTAAGTGTTAGCCGTTTTGAACTTTCTGTATAGCTCCTTAAACTGGAAATGGTGTCTCTTAGCTCTGTTGCCTTTGCATTTGCTGCTTTCTCTGTGTGGACTATCTTTCTTTTTGCTCACTCTTTACATACTAAGATTCAACACAGGTGTTGTAGTCACTCTGAGCCACCTGGCACACCTGCTTCCCTGGCCCCGCATGCCACCATCCCCCGCCCCACCCCACTGTCTGCCAGTCTGGATTAGGAGTTTGCCCTCTTTGGTCTAACAGCACCTTGTGCTTCCTGTACTACACTGAACTGTAATCAGGTGCTTACTTGTCTTCCCCTCTGAATTGTAAACCTGAGAGCAAGCAAGGACTATATTTTTCCATTTTGTTGTCCAGCAGCTGACCTCAGTAAACGTTCAGTATTTCCTGTATGAACACTGAATGAATTACTTCAGCTGGACTCATGGTATTCTGTCTTTGTGTTCTAGAACCCCTTCTATTAATGGATATATCCAGAATACCAGATTGAATGGTGTTTTTATTAGTAGTCATGTCTAAGTCGCTTAAGAAAATGGATAGATTATTGTATTATTGTTGTATAAATATACATTTGTGTTTTAAGTTTTTTCCCTGGTCTTAGTCCTTATACTATTTCCTGCTACAAAAACTAATCAACTCACTTTGAAACAGTTGTTACTGTTTTTATCAAGGCAATAAATAATTTATGACTCAGAATACAATTATAATTCTTATGTTGTTTCATAGAATTGGGTTTTAACAGTTTGTAACTGGCATTTATATTATGACTTCTTTGAAACAGTCAAAATAGAAATATAAAATAGCAAAAATATGTTTTACCTTAAGAACTCTGAGGTTGCTAATTGTGCTTCTAAATATACTTTAATTGGGTTTCATTTCTGAGTTTAATTTTAGGGGGTAATTATTAAGTTAAAGAATTTTAATGTCAGACCCATTGTTGTTTTTACAGATGCTAAAAGTGAAATAATGAGACTGAGTCATTTAAACCAGGTAAACTCATTTTAAGAGAAAGCTTTTGGCATTGGTTTACCAAGAAAAAGTATTTTGATCATTATAGTTGCTTATTTTGTGGTGTTTTTTTTTTGTGTGTTTTTTTTACAAATTCATGTGAATTTATCCTAGGAACTTTGATATTTGGAATTTTATGTTTGCTGATGAATAACAAACTTTTTGCCTCATAAATTGACATTTTTAAAAGTTGCATAATTGAAAAATGCAAGTATATCTCTTTGAAGATTAATTTGACAAATGTTAGATTTGTAGAGACAGTAGAAGCAGATCCTTTACCAAAGTGAGGAATGCGTATTGGTTTCCCTTTGTGATAGTCAGGGAATTGTTTCTTTTTCTGATGATCACAGGTTATTTTGTAAATGTATTTATATATATTTTTCAAATAAGGAAATCCTCTCTGCAAATGTCTGTAGAATGAGTGACGGGCTTTAGATGGTCCAGTGTTGTATGCTTATTCTTTTTATATGTCACTAAAGAAATTCTGAGGAGAAATGCCTAGTTGTATAGCTTACCTGCTTTCTTGTAAACTCAAAATTTCCTGTTATCTGAAAACTGTTTTTAACATGTTTATAGGATAATCTCGCTGAAGACAATCTGAAACTTACAGTGCGTGTCCAAGTTTTAGAAAAAGAGAATTCAGTATTGAGTCAAGAAAAGGTGGGTGCAGTAAAAACGGGGGCAGAATTAAAATGGCATGTGTTATATATGGATCACAGCTAAGAGCCAGTTTATATCAAAATGCGTGTTTAGTTCTTGAGAGTCCTGAGGATAAAGCTGATCTCATTAATGCTTGTTAGGCCAGGTTGAAGTACTTGGGCAAGGTTCAGAGTATGAGAGGCTGGCCAGAGTTTATGTTTAGAGATAAACCAGTAAGCATACAGATATGAGCAGAAAAAATAGGTAAAGGTTCTTCTTTGGTTTCAGATGAAGTCCTGACAGCGGCAGCATACACAGGTGGGTTGGGAGCCTGGTGTGGCATACTAGTCACTATACTTAGTGCTTATATGGCCCGGAATGTGTCTAGTGTGTAGACAGAATTTCTGAGTGGTGAGGGAATGTCCCACCAAGAGGGACATTTTTGGTGGTAGAAATGGGGTCTCTTGGGTATATTGGTAGCAGGGATAGAGTAAGATTCTGTAATGAAATGTTGGGTTTTGTTTATATTTTTAATCTTTTAATGTGTCTCCTTTAATTGATAGTATGTGTTGTATTTTTTCCCTTTTATCATTTAAGGAAGAACTTCACATATCACTTTTAAAATTAAACAATGAATATGAAGAAATTAAAAGTACAACCATGAGAGACATGGATTTGGATTCAAAATTACATGATTTAAGACTTAATTTGGAGGCAAAGGAGCAAGAACTCAATCAGAGTATTACTGAGAAGGAGACGCTGATAGCCGAGTTAGAGGAATTGGATAAGCAGAACCAAGAAGCTACCCAGGTAGTAAATACTGTATTAAAGACGGTGCGGCAGCACATTCTACCCAGTAGACTGAACACTAGGTTAACAAGCAAAGGTGACTGGTGTTATTTCATTTTGGGTTTTAATTAATATTTTAGTTCATCGACGCTCTAGTCATAGACTTTGGCAAACTTTTTCTGTAAAGTGTTAGATAGTAAATATTTTTGGCTTTGCAGGCCATATAGTCTCAGTTGCAACTGCTCAACTCTTGTTATAATATGTAAACAAATGAGCCTGGCTCTGTTCCAGTAAAACTTTATTTACAAAAACAGGCAGCAGGCCTGGTTTGCCCCATTACTGCTGATTTGTTGACTCCTGCCCAGTGTTTAAGAGTTGAAAATAAACAAAATGTGTCTTTTACCTTCTTTAGTTTTAAATTCTAATCTCTAAAATGATAAAATAGAGTTTCTGTAAAATATTAGCAATTTTTGGGGGCTTTTTAAAAGAGTTTTAAGAAGGATTAGAAATATCTGAGGATTATTATTCTATTATGTACGACATTTTATAAAATTTCCTTAGATACTAAAATGAGAGCATGTTTTAAAGTTAACATGCAAATTAATTTTTCTTGCAGCACTTGATTTTGATAAAAGATCAGCTATCAAAACAGCAAAATGAGGGAGATCACATCATCAATAAGCTGAAAATAGATCTAAATAATGAAAAAAAGAAAGTTTGTCAACTTGAAGATGATAAAATGAACATTACTAAAGAGTTAGATGTGCAGAAAGAAAAGTTAATTCAAAGTGAGCTGGTCCTGAATGACTTGCGTTTAGCCAAGCAGGAGCTAGAGGGTAAAATAGAAGATTTAGGAGATCAACTAAGTAAATCACAAAACAATAATTTAAATATCCAGGAGGAGAACTTTGAACTTAAGGAACATATTAAACAAAAGGAGGAGGAACTTTCTAGAGTCAGATGTGAATTAACTCAGCCTCTTAATCAAGACTTTAGCAGTAATTTTAAGGATGACCTACTTAAAGAAAGGGACACTGACATCAGAAATCTAAAGCAAAATCTTTCAGAAGTGGAAGAGCTCAATGACAATTTAAAGAAAGTTGCTTTTGATCTCAAAATGGAAAACGAAAAATTGGTTTTAGCTTGTGAAGATTTAAGACATCAGTTGGAAGAATCTATTATTGGTAACAATCAGATTTCTCTAGAAAAAACCACTATTTTAGAGACTCTAAAAACAGAAAAAGGACAGTTAGAAGCAGAATTGTGTCGGGCTGAAGAGAAGCTGTTGGAAGCAGCAGACAAGTATGAGCGGACCCTTGGAGAACTGGCAGAGGCCCGGAACACGAGCGCCTCTGCTTTGCAGCTGGAACACGAGCGCCTAACTAAGCTCAGCCAGGAGAAAGACTTTGAAATAGCGGAACTCAAAAAGAGTATTGAGCAGATAGATATTGATCGTAAGGAGACTAAGAACATTTTGTCATCTAGTTTGGAAGAGCGGAAGCAATTGACACAACTTATAAACGAGAAAGAAATTTTTATTGAAAAACTTAAAGAGAGAAGTTCAGAGCTCCAGGAGGAGTTAGATAAATATACTGAGGCCTTAAGAAAAAGTGAAAACTTGAAGCAAACCATAGAGGAAAAAGACAGACTTCTCGGATCCATGAAAGAAGAAAACAATCACCTAAAAGAAGAACTGGAACGGCTCCGGGAACAGCAGAGCCGAACCGCCCCTGTGGCTGACCCTAAAACCCTCGACTGTATTACAGAACTACAATCTGAGGTGTCTCAGCTGAATATAATAAAGGGTAACCTTGAAGAGGAAATCAAGCAGCACCAGAAAATAATTGAAGATCAGAACCAGAGCAAAATGCAGCTACTTCAGTCGTTACAGGAGCAGAAGAAGGAAATGGACGAGTTTAAATGCCAGCACGAGCAGATGAGTGTCACGCACACCCAGCTCTTTCTAGAGAAAGATGAGGAAATTAAGACCTTGCAAAAAACAATTGAAGAAATCCAAACCCAGTTGCATGAAGAAAGGCAAGGTATTCACACAGAGAATTCTGATATTTTTCAAGAAACAAAAGTTCAGAGCCTTAACATAGAAAATGGAAGTGAGAAGCATGATTTATCTAAAGCTGAAACGGAAAGGTTAGTGAAAGGAATAAAAGAACGAGAGCTAGAGATTAAACTTCTAAATGAAAAGAATATATCTTTAACTAAACAGATCGATCAGCTGTCCAAGGATGAGGTTGGAAAACTGACTCAGATTATCCAGCAGAAGGATTTGGAGATACAGGCTCTTCACGCTAGAATTTCCTCAGCTTCCTACTCCCAGGATGTTGTTTACCTCCAGCAGCAGGTGCAGGCCTTCGCGGTGGAAAGAGAGCAGGTGCTGGCTGTTTTGAGTGAGAAGACCAGGGAAAACAGCCACCTGAAAACAGAATACCACAAAGTGATGGATGTAGTTGCTGCCAAAGAGGCAGCCCTCGTGAAGCTGCAAGATGAAAATAAGAAATTGTCCACTAACTTTGAAGGTACCGGCCAAGAAATGTTTCGAGAAACTGTTCAGAATTTATCACGTATCATTCGAGAAAAAGACATTGAAATAGATGCATTAAGTCAGAAATGTCAGACCTTACTGACAGTTTTACAGACGTCCAGCACTAGTGATGAGGTCGGAGGTGTTAATAGTAATCAGTTTGAGGAGCTCCTGCAGGAACGTGATAAGTTAAAACAACAAGTAAAGAAAATGGAAGAGTGGAAGCAGCAGGTAATGACTACGGTACAGAATATGCAACATGAGTCAGCCCAGCTTCAGGAGGAACTCCATCAGCTGCAGGCACAAGTGTTGGTTGACAGTGATAATAATTCTAAGTTACAAGTGGACTATACTGGCCTGATTCAAAGTTATGAGCAGAATGAGACCAAACTCAAAAATTTTGGGCAGGAATTAGCCCAAGTCCAGCATAGCATAGGGCAGCTTTGCAACACCAAAGATCTTCTTTTAGGAAAACTTGATATTATTTCACCTCAGTTCTCTGCCAGGTCATCACTTACTCCCCAGTCTGCAGAGTCTCTCAGAATCGCTAAGTCTGAAACATTAAGTGAATCTTCTCATCAAGAGATAGAAGAGCTAAGAAAGTTGCTGCAGGAGAAAGATGCAGCAATTAGAACCCTCCAGGAAAATAACCACAGATTGTCTAATTCGATTGCTGCCACCTCAGAGCTGGAAAAAAAAGAGCACGAACAAACGGACTCAGAAATTAAACAGCTGAGGGAGAAACAAGATGTTTTGCAAAAGTCACTTAAGGAGAAAGACCTCTTAATTAAAGCCCAAAGTGATAAGTTACTTTCTTTAAATGAAAATTTCACAAACAAGGTGAATGAAAACGAACTTTTGAGGCAGGCCGTAACGAACCTGAAGGAGAGAATATTAAATTTAGAAATGGACATCTGTAAGTTAAAAGAGGAAAACGAAAAAATAGTAGAAACAACCAGGGAAAAGGAAACAGAATATCAAGCATTACAAGAGACTAATATGAAGTTTTCTATGATGCTGCAAGAAAAAGAGTTTGAGTGCCATTCAATGAAGGAGAAGGCTCTTGCTTTTGAGCAGCTACTTAAAGAAAAAGAGGTATGTCCTGGGTGGCGAATTAGATCTAGAGAGTGGTGGGGGTGGAGGACATTTTTAGTGTCACTTTATTATTATCTTTGAAGGGGAGTATGAATTCATTCATTCAGAAATACTTATTTCAAAGTGTTGTATTGCATTCTAAATAAATATTCTTCAAAGGCATCTGGAAGTTTCTTCCCCAAATTACTAGGTATTTCCAAATATTTTTTAATATTGGGTTAATCTTTTAGAGCCTGGTAACTAGAAAAAGTTTAGCGGTAATTAATATTTTTCTTCAGAAAATGGAAATGTGTTACAAGAGAAAAATTTGAAGTCAGTACAATTTAACCAAATTTTGGCATATTTCAGTAACTGCCTAGTGATGGTTAACATTTCAGAGGTTTTCATATGTAATGAGAAGCTCTGTGAAATACACGCTCCATCTTTGATGATCTGCAGTAAGAAATACACTTTACGTTATGACACAGTAAGCGCGCGCGCGTGTGTGTGTGTGTGTGTGTAAAACTGAGAAGTTTCAGAAATTACCCTTAACTATATGTGATGCTCTATGAAAAAAAGTGCTGCATGACCCATTCAATTGATTTTTATGAATCAGTCACGACCTGGTGTTTGAAAAATGTTAGTCATGAGTAATGCTTTTCACACAGTGGGCTCAGCTCTGACACTGGTGTGACTTTGGGTGTGTCATAAAATGGAGGGTTGTAGTGATTACATATATAAAGTATCAGTCGTTTTTGACATATTTAAGTTCTTACACGCAGTTGATTTTGATTTTAATAAGAATGTATTGAAGACCTTCTAGTACATCATACTGTGTATGGTAGGTGCTGTGTAGGGCTTTTCGGTGGTGCTTATTACTCTGATGTCTATACTTTTAGTAGTAGAAGTTTGGAAAAGAAATGAGCATATTCAACAAGTGCTTCTTGAGCATTTACATGCTGCCAGGCACAAGATACAAAATGATTTAACTTCTTTTACCAAATAGGTTCTCTCTTAGAGTCTTGGACTAAAGTTTGGGAAATGCTTCCCGTAGCTTTCGGTTTGGGAAGAGAAGCCTTTCGTTTTGCCCTTCTTTGCCACCTGCTGAAGTCGGTGCCCTGAGCTGTTCTTCCTTAGGTGTAAGGCCTTAGCCTCCCGTGGGGCTGGTCTGGAATAGGTGAGAAAGAGACTCTTAGAGGGCAGCAGCTGTTTACCGCTCACTAACCAAAATTGGGTGTAGTGTCTTAGGGCTGTCAGATTATAACAGGAGTGTAGAACAATGAAGTATTCTTTTTTAATACATTTTTTTCCTCTTGTAGTTTTATCATACTGTACAATTTAGTTCTATTTCATTGATATTTATGGATCTAAAGTGTATAGATTTAAGTAAGACTTGCCTACCTTTCAGGAAGCTCCCTGTTAAGTCATACTTAAGTACTGTATTACTTGAAGGTAATTAGCGTAAACTAATTTTTTCCAATATGCTATATAATTGAAGAGTGCCTTTATTATAATAAATAACATCTCTTTTTTTAGGGAGAAAGGGATATTCTCAATAGGAGATCTTCAACTCTTTACTTTTCAACCATTGGTTCTTTCTCTGTAATATGAAAAAAATTTCACCTGAAAATACGCTGCTTGGAAACTGTTGGCCTCACTATCTAGGAGGGGGTGTTGAGATTAAAGGAACAGATGGTTTTGGTTTTATGTTTTGGTTTAGATAATTTGGTTTAGATAATTATATATTAAAGAGATGGAAAATTTATATGAAAATTTAAAGTAATACCTAACTATAAAAATAGGGTTTCCCAAAAAATGTATACATACACTGAATAATTATAAAGGCAGTGTTTATTAAAATACATTTCATTTTCAGAAATGAGCTCTCAGGCGTTAAAGTATATATACATTTTTTGGGGACACCCTGTAGATTCTTAAGACATGCATTTTTAAAACAGGCTGTAAATAGCCTGTCACTTTTTTGTGCTTTCTAGAATTCCAGCTAATGTCTTAATTTCATGGCCCTATTTTTGCAGTGGTCACATTTTTTCTGCTGTCGTTAATATATATTTTACTTGTATGGAATGCAATCAAGAATAAAATTTCCCAACCGTCTAGCAACATGTCATTCCAGAGTCACTTTCATTCATTAAATTGTTGCCAAAATATTCTTTTAAAATAGGCTGTGCATATGAAATGACTTCCCTATTTCTCCTCTGCCAGCATCTTGACACTTTCTCCAACAACAATTGTGAATGCCTGATGAGTGGGGACACACACACACTTTTTTGGAGTGATTTTGGGTTTGTGAACACTGTTGTTTAGGGTAAATTTGAAGAGATTGTCTTTTGAGTTCTTTTTAAAATATTTCTAATAAGCTTTTTCTTTTAAGAGTCGTTTTAGATTATTAGAAAAGTTGCAAAGATAGTGTAGAGTTCCCATACACCTCACACCCAATTTCCCTTATTTTTAACATGTTACATTACTGTGGTACACTTGTAACAACTAATGAGCCAATATTGATACATTAGTATTAACTGAAGTTCGTACTTTATTTGAATTTCCTTAACTTTTACCAAATGTCCCCTCCTGTGCCAGGATGCCAACCAGGATACACATTGTGTATAGTTGTCATGAGTCCTTCAGCTCCTTTAGACTGACAGTTTCTCAGACTTTCCTTCTTTGATGACCTTCACATGGTCAGCTATATTTTAAAGTGAATTAATGAAGAAATGTCTTTTTAAAATATTTTTATTTAAAGCTAAAGTTCTTTCTTTCCTAAAGGGTGAGACTGGGGAGTTGAATCAGCTTTTAAATACAGTTAAGTCAATGCAGGAGAAGACAGTTACATTTCAGCAGGAGAGAGATCAAGTCATGTTGGCCCTGAAGCAGAAGCAGATGGAAAACACTGCTGTGCAGAATGAGGTACACTTTCCCTTTAAAGAAGCAGTGATTCAGGCACTAAGTTTAATGATTATTAAGTAGGAAAATGGTAAAGATGAGCATTTAAAATTAATTTCTCTCATCGGTGATTTTTTTCTTAGTCTTCCTCTCTAACGTGCTATGGTAAAATTTTGATCTCCCAGAATGCATTTTATTTTAATTTTCAAAAGTGAAAAATCATGATCTAATCATTCATTATGTTGTACACCTGAAACTAAATTGTACCTTGATTTTTTAAAATAAAAAAGTTAAAACCAAGGCATATCTTGGATATAAGAAAAATTTTCCATTTATAAAATATGGGTAATATGAGATTTACTGAAAAGTGGTCTGTGACAAAGGCCTAGTCCTTCGTATGATTCTAGTTTCCATCATAGCCACAGGAATGAGGCCTTACAAAGTAAAACTTCCAAATGAATATTTGGGATGATTTCAGGAGACTTTTTTCCTAGCATAAATACATCTTGCAGTATGAGAAATTAGTATATAATTAATACACTTCAATAATTGGAGGAAATTTGATAACAGTTGGTGGCTTGTGGGGGGAGAGGGAACATTACATAAAAGAAAAATAAAGAAATGTCCTCTATCTAGGTTCAACATTTACGCGACAAAGAATTACGCTTAAACCAGGAGCTGGAGAGACTGCGGAACCATCTTTTAGAAACAGAAGATTCTTATACCCGTGAAGCTTTGGCTGCAGAAGATAGAGAGGCTCAGCTAAGAAAGAAGGTCACAGTGTTGGAGGAAAAGCTGCTTTCATCTTCCAGCGCCATGGAAAATGCAAGGTACCTTCCTCCATTTTTAGCCTTAATGTTAACCGAGCACTTCTTGAGTATAAGACTCAATAAGCATTTTTCATATTTTACCTCAGTTTGTTCTCACAAAGCTTATTATCTCTATCTTACAGACAAAGAAACTTAGAGTTAAGAGGGTTAGTAAGCTTCCTGAGGTCAGGCATGCAGAGTGTGGGGGCTTTGTACTCAGGTCTCACAGTTAACCAGATCTGGCATTCAAAGTGAGGTTTCTTGGAATCTTAACCATCACCTACATAATTCTCATCATTTCAGAAGCTTTGGCTTAAATACCAGCTGCTTTAATTAGCTCACCAGACTCCCAAAGAACTAATTTAATTAAATTTTGTGGTTTTATTTTTAGTCAAATGATCTAAGGTTGAACAAGGTTTGGCTCTAAGAAGGGAGAGAGGAAAGGAAGTAGCAAGGTGAAGACATAGGTCAGTATGAATTAACTCTTGGTTTCTTAGAACTTTTGAATAGCCGGGCCCCTGCTTATATAATTTTAAATTTTATTTCTCTCAATCAAATGTCTTTTTTTTTTTTTTTTTATTACAAAACATTTTATTTTTCACTTCAGGAAAACCACATAAAGCAAAAGAACATAAAGCCATAGTGCCATCCATCCCGGAATAATCGTTTTCTGGTGCCTTTATATGCTTTTATGTGTCTATATATCGTGTATTTTTTAAAGCAAACTAGACACCATATATTCATACTATTTTATAACCTGCTTCTGCTACTTAATATGAGTATCAGTACACATTGAGCCATGTGTTTCTGCAATATTATTTTATGGCTACAGAGTGTGCCGTTATTTGGATTGCCATAATTTATTTAATCCAGTCAATTATTCTTGGACATGCAGAGTGTTTCAGTTTTTCAAAATTACTAGGAGTGCTGTCATATCTCAAGATAGGTATTTTTGTGTTGTTGACAGATTATTTCCTTGGTGTAAATTTTTAGAAATGGAAGTTTGGTTCAAAGGGTATTTTTGAAACTTTTGAAATATACTGCCAAATAATCTTACGGGAAAATCATGTCTGTTTTATATTTCCATAAGTGATATGCACATCTTTTAATTTATTTTTTACTGTGTATGACACTGAAGGAGATAGTAGATATATCTGTTTGCAAAGAGATTATGGTTCAGTAGAGATAATACTTCTGAGGGTGAGCTCCTCCCTCACATGGTAGGGTATATTATTACGCCTTCAGACTGAGAGGGAAAACTTGTTTAAAACAACAATGAGAATAATAGATGATCATTGGTATGTTTCGCATCAGCAGAAATGCCAAAACATCTCCAGGCTATGAAATTGATTCTTTCCTTTCGATTTTTAGGCCTTTGTTTTCTGGAATTAAAATAGTCTAGTCTCTGCCCCTTTCACTTACCCTTCATAGTAATCGCCAGAATAACCTCTGTGTTTTTAAAAAATATATATATACCTTTATTGATTCCAGATAGAGGAAGGGAGAGGGAGAGAGAGAGGTAGAAACATCAATGATGAGAGCCCGCAACCCGGGCATGTGCCCTGACCAGGAATCCAACCCCTATCGCCTGGATCCTAGGTTGATGCTCAACCGCTGAGCCACGCCCAGCCGGGCCAGAATAACCTTTGTTAAATAGAGCTGTGACCTTGTTACTCCTTTTCCAAAGCCAGGGTAGACCCATGTTTTGGCCCCAGGCTGTCTGCCTCCGTGGCCTTATTTCTCACTGTCACCTCCGGCCAACCAGCTGGATCACTCAGTTCTTGAGGTGCGGCTACTCTTTCTGTTTCTTTTTCTCCTGCTTCTTCACTCCATAGTCTTCCTTCTGCCTGGAAGTAGGCCTGATCCTAACACTTTCTGTTAATCCCACCTGTTCTTCAACTAGCTTCTCCTTCATAAAGAACCCTTTATTTATCACCCCACTCCTCAAATCCCAAACCAAACCATGGTGTGATTTTTTTCCTTTGAACCTGCTTGACAGGAGCCTTTGATAGGGTCCTTCTATTCTACTTTAGGGTAATTGTTGACCTGTTTTACACTCTCTCCTACTCAGTGGAATGTAAGGTTACTGAGGGTAGCAGTGATGCCATTTATTTTGTACCCTTCCCATAAGCATATATTCTCATATATAGTTTAATAGATCTTCAGTAAATATTTGTTATATAGGTACAAACCAGATTATGGTGTTTGAGTCCTTACCTAACAACAGTAATGTGGTAATCTGTTAACTTCTTGAGTGACTTCACAGCTCATTTAATCTTTACAGTCACCCGTTGAGTGATTTTCTAACCAGCAAAGTTGAATAAAACTCCAGGACCTTTGAGGGCAGTTGTCTCCTGTTTATCAATTTACTGCTCTTTCCACAAGAGGGTGCTATTGGGTAAAGTTTCTTCAAAGTAGCTGCTCTAAATGGGCTTTGATGGGCTGCTCTTGACTAAGAATTTAACTGGATATTAAAAACCCAGAAAAGACTATTGCAGTATTTTCTATGTAATAATTATACATTGAGGAAGTACATCAATGACAAGCCTGGATAGGTGCTATATAAATCTCTTAGGGAACTCTGATTTATCATTTGGGGCAATTGTAGGGGTTATTTAATACATGCTGAAGGATGATGGTAAAAGATAATTAACTAGTAATCAGAGCAGCTAATCAGTGGGCTAACCTTAGGAAAGCTGTGAATTCACCACGATTTCACATGTTAAAAGCAAGGGGATGACATAGAATTCATTGCTCACTGGGTTGGAAGCTGGGCAAAATTACTTCCAAGGTCCCTTACAACTTATAATTTTATGAAAAATTACATCTTAGAGTTTTAGCCTGCTATTTGTAAATTTTTCTTATGGTGACATTTCTTGTTTAGCCCAATGCTGTCTTTAAAGTCACTGCCACTTATTCTGAGTCACTTTCATAGGAAGGACGGGTGGATTAACAGAAACAGGGAGAACAAAAGTCAAAGCATTCTTCAAGTTTCCTTGAGTTCTAACTTGAATTTAATGCAGTAAAATGTAGGGAAGGTCAGATTCATGGAGACAGAGGGAACTATGGTTGCTGGGGGAACGGGAGTTTCTGTTCAGTGAACATGGTGTTTCGGCTTGGGAAGATGAAAAATATCCTGGAGGTGGGTGGCAGTTACAGTTGTACAACAATGTAAATTACTTCGTGCCACTGAACTCCCCACTTAAAAGTGATGAAAATGGTAAATACATATATTTTACCACAATAAAAAAAGTAGTAAAGACACTTCATCTTGTTACTGTGAAATCTAATTTGCATTTAATCCAATAAAATGTAGGAAAGATGTTTCATCTTGTAAAGTACCTAAGGAGAAACAGTTTGACTTTTGCTCTTTTTGTTTGAAGCCACCAAGCCAATTTGCAGGTAGAGTCATTACAGGAACAATTGAATGTAGTCTCCAAGCAAAGGGATGAAACTGCCCTGCAGCTTTCTGTGTCTCGGGAACAAGTGAAGCAGTATGCTCTGTCACTCTCCAACCTGCAGATGGTACTAGAGCATTTCCAACAAGGTAAGCTATATGGTCAGTTTTTCAGTGAAGAAAAATTGTTGTAGTTATTGGGAATTTTGGCTTATTTCAGTGCCATTTTAGATTAGGCATGGGGATATGGATAGCTTTGAAAGGTTACCCACTTGTGGGGGGAAGATAAGTAGCCATCAATAAATTAATTTAGACTGCTTTTATAATTAAGACTAGAGAATATAAACTCTACATAGTCATTATTAAAAATTTATTTTAGTATCATATCATGACCAAGTAAGGTAAGTGCTGGGGAACTAGAAGGGTAGCATAGAAAGGGTGATCCTGTGATACAGGGGCATATGAAGGAAGAGAGGCACACGTAGGAAAGATGGTTTTGAGATCGGTTGGAGGTTGAACCCACTTGAAAGACTTAGTCATCAGTAACTGTTGTCCTTTGCATATGGATGAACCTATTCTTAGCTCTTCATCTGTACATTGAGGTAACTGTGTTTTCAAGTCCAGGTGGAAAATAATATTTTGGAGTCACAATAACAGTGACCAGAGCAGTTTTACCCTGATAGCCGAATATGCTTTCTCACGTCTATCTCCCATCCTTAGATTTACCCTAGATGATTCACCCATCCATTTGTTTATTCATACATTCGGTAATTATTGGCAATGAGTTAACTGCTAGAGGAGGACATGTGGATGATTAGGCTAATGAATCAGCAGGAATTATAGTTTTGTGCCTAAGTTAAACTTTAAATTTGTACATTTGTAGACCTTCAGAGTTACTCATATGGTTGAAATCTTGAGTTTTAAATATAAAAGATTTCTCTAGATCTATGCTGTATAATACTAAAATGAACATGTGTACAAAGTAGTAAGATACTGAGGCTGAAGGGAAAGCTTTGCCAAAGAGGAGTGGAGTTCTGGAGAGAGGGAGGAGTTTGCAAGATGGACAAGATGGAGAAAGATTTAGGCAGAGGAAATGGATCTCGTTACCTTAATTGCAGTTAACACCATCATTAAGGGATGTGTAATTGTTGGGACATATGAACTGTTTTTGTTGAATTACTAAAATTTCAAGTGGTTTAGAATTCTGATTTTATTTCACAATTGCAAAATACTATGTAACTTTTTTTGTCTTTAGAGGAAAAAGCCATGTATTCTGCTGAACTAGAAAAGCACAGACAGCTTGGAGCTGAATGGAAGAAAAAGGCAGAAAATCTGGAAGGAAAAATGACGTCATTACAGGTTGGTTGAAATAATTTCCCTTGTAAATATTATTTTTTATGAAGCAGTTTCTCGTAGAATCTTCGTCTTGGAAATAATTTCCTGAACAATTAATTTAGTACATATTGTTTGAATGACTAATCTGTACCCCATGTTGTGGCACAATAGTGAACAAGACTCTGAGGATTTTCCTCATGTGACTTAGTAGACAGCAAATACGAGATGGCAGGACATTTTATTCTTTCGGCACAGATGAGTATTTTAGAGATCACGGAAGAAGAGACAAATTAATCCACAATTTTAACTTTATAATTTTTTCAGCAAAATATATTGGGTACTTTATTTCACATGGATTAAAATAATGCATATTAACTATCCCATTAGATTTTTTTGCAGCATAAACCTTTAAAATATTTTTCTCTTTATTATTAAGCTATATTTCATACATACAAAAGTTATATATAAGATATAAATAAAATGAACCTTTATGAAGAGAGATGACTCCATAGTTACTTGCTTTTAGATTTAAGATAAACTTTTCTAAGTTATAAGTAGGCTGGTGATAGCTGGTGGAAAATAAAATTTGTTTACCTGTCATGCTGTTCAGGCACATTAATATTCCAAATAAGTGAAGCCGTATTTCCTGTAAAGTTCTGAAAATATTAAATATTTAGTGGCTGGAATATTATGTATAATATTTATAAAATATAAGAATAGCAATACAGCAAATACCCACGTACTCACCACCCAGTGTAAGAAATAGAATGATGTCCTTTGAAGTCCCTTATGTACCTCCCCTCATCTCATCCCGTTCTTACCACCTCCTATTCCAGATTCTTACGTTTATCACCCCCTTGTCATTTTTTATGGTTTTATCTCATAGATTTGTATCTCCAAACAATATATTGTTTGGTTTTGCATATTTTTGAATTCTGTATAAATGGAATTTTGAACTATATATAAATTGAATAATTTTTCTGAGACTTGCATTTTTGCTTAGTATTATGTTCATGAGTTTCAGCCATGTTACTACGCGTTACTGTGTGTAGATGGTTCGTTACTTTTACTGCTCTATTCATTACGTGAATATATAATTTACTTATTCGTTTTGTTGATGAAGGTATCTTCATTATCTGCTACACAAACAGTGTGGTTAGGAACTCCCTTGTCTCTGTCGTCTGGTACACAGGTACAGGAGTTTCCTTCAGGTGTGTATCTTGATCGGAACTGCTGAGCCATGGGATATATGTGAGCAGTGTCAGCTTATCAGATGATGTGTGAAGAGCTTTTCACAGAAGAGCAGACCTGGGTGTCCTGTAATCATGAAAAAATGCTCAGATTCACTGGTAGTTAGGGAAGTAAAAAGTAATAATGAAACATCACTTTATACCCATCAGGCTCAGGAAAATTTAAAAGAACATTTGTTACTATCTTGACTTTTTTATCTGCTTTTTGTAGCTTTTATTCCCTGTTGTCACTTTTTTTTTTTTAACTTTTGTCGCCGCGTTTTCTTTAGTAGCCTCCTTTTCTGATTAGTTCCTCTGAAAGAGACAGTTTGTGTTGTAAACGGTGAGTTCTGCCTTTGAAACTTAGTTACCTGCTCTAGCCCCAGGTCATCAGCTGAAATGAAAAGGGTCAATTGACTCTAAGACGTTTCTAGCCCTGTAGTTTGTGAGTTTTCACATGCTGCTTTTTACTTATTTTTATTTATTTTTTATTTATTTGTTCTCGTATGTGCCCTGACCAGCGATCGAGCCCACAACCTTGGCGTATTGGGATGACGCTCTAACCAACTGAGCTGCCTGGCAGGGCTTTACATGCTGCTTTTTAATGAACTTTCCTTCCTCAGGAGCGTCTGGATGAAGCAAATGCTGCATTGGATTCAGCATCAAGACTCACAGAGCAATTAGATTTAAAGGAAGAACAAATTGAACAACTTAAAAAACAAAGTAGGTTTTTTTCTTTTCCTTTCTTTTTTCTACAACACTAGTAGTGTTGAGTCCCATGTAGTCTTCCCCCACCTGATGGTGCAGTTGTGTGAGACCAACTTCCTTTGGTGGTGACTTCTGTTTCCACCTCCTGTTAACCAGCTTGCTTCTGTTCGAATGTGGTCCTAGTGAAACCAGACTCATGAGTTGGCCTTGCTGTCCAGTCAGTCTTCTTGGTGGTGAGGCTGCTGACCATCAAGGGGATCAATTTGATTTACCTGATTTTTTTATGTTTGACTTCTCCCTAATCAGTCTGTGTTCATCCTACCTAAAGCCATCTGATGTGTTAGAAGGGGCAATATCGTCAGGTAAAAGTTACTTTTTGTGTAATGAATGTCTGGGCATAACTAGCTTTTTATGGTTATAGATGGTGCTTTACATAAAGGCCATTCATCATGTATTTTTTGATGCTTGTAAGGTTTCTCATAAGCCCTGTCAGTTCCGTAAGTTGAGTCCTGTGCTTAGGATTGTGAATTGGGCCTCAGAAAATCAGGCAGTTCCTAAGAACTTTGTTGAATCTGATCTCTGACAAAGATGGCATGTCCTCATTTAATCTCTGATTAAAGGGTCCCCAGGAAGTTGAAGCTATTCTAGGGCTGCATTTAGTAGGTAACGACTTACGGTTATCAGACGGTGATATGGGAAGCTAGAAGTGCAGCAACTTTAGGCGTCTGAGTTAGTCACAGTAGCACCATGGCACATAATTAAGGAATTAAGTACCACCTAAAATAAAATAGAAATTAGAAACAGGCAGAACCTGAAGGCGATGGCATAGCAGAGATACTATCAGACAACAGAAACAGTGACTTGGATGCTAAGGAGGTAAGCAGGCGAGACCCTCTGCAGCATGGATACCAGAGGACAAGCCAGAGTAAGTGGGCCTAATCCAGCAGGAGACAGGAGATAAGAGATTTTAGAAATACAAAAGATAAGGTAGGTATGTTAGGTAATTTTCCTTGAGATAACTTGATTCTGAGGCAGATTACTGGCCAACTAAAAGTCCTCTGTTTACTTTGTAAGACTTGACTAGCCTGGGAATTCTAAATCTCTTAGAGGGCCTGGACATTGGCAACAAGCGAACTATTACATATTGAGTATCATGGACATTTTATGTAACATTTACTGTATATTTAATCTTATTTCGTTTACTCTTTATAGCAACTTAAAGTAGGCAGTATTAGTTCCATTTTATAAGATAAAGAAGCTGAAATTTGAACTCTGATGTTTTACCCTTGACCAAAGTTCGTGTTTTTCCCATGTTACTGTCTTTCTTCCTGTCAGGAAAATGGCTCTTTATAGTGTGACTTCTGTATGTTCTGTGTATCTCCATCTCCTCTGAAGAAGAACAGTATCCTCTCTGTTGTACCCTCAGTGTTGAAATGGTTGCTCTTATCTGGAGGCGTGTTCGTTGGAAAAACAGTCTAGTTAGGTTGAAGGCCAGCGCAGCTACAGCGTTATCTGAAGACACGAGCAACTCAGAGGGAACACACTGGCACCTCAGGCACTAGCCAGAGAATTGCTATCTTGGGGTAGGGCTAACTAATGGAGGTGAAAAGGCAGTATTCTGAACCAGCTCCTCGGTCTGTGACAACTCAGTGTTGTATGACATGCTATTAGAATGTCTGAGGCCACATCTCCTCTTAGACATCCACCTGAGTCATTCCCAGTAGATAATGGTAAGACAAAAAATTCTGTGACTTACTGTAGTTGTTAAATATTATCAGAGTCCCTGCACTACTTACCCCTAGTGGTATTAGAATATATTTAGGTTTCGACTATAAATGACAAGGCTTAGGTAGGTCCCTATTCATGTAAAAAAAATTACACTTAATATTCATTATAAATGTATAGCAGCTTTGGACTTATTTTGTAGAGTCAGTATTAGCTATATTAAAAGCCCTAATTATGCTTATACAACTGGTATTTGAAAGGGCAGGCAAAAGGCCAGTGTTGCATAGACAGGAAGGGGAGTAGAGAGAGTTCTGTTATATCTTTAAGCTGTTCTTGCCGTTTACAGCTCTTCTTAACATTCTGTTTTCTTTTATTACCTAAGTGCTTGATACTGCTTTTATATCTCCAAACACAAATGTGATTTTATTTTCTCAAAGCTACTCTTGATTTGATAATATAACTAAAAGTTTGATTGGCTTGGTTGTTTGAAAAGAATCATTGTATATTTTCTCTCATAGATCATTAAGTACTTTAAATGTTGATTGATGTTGTAATACTGTACTTTATTTTTAACACAAAACTTGGCCAGACAGCAAAAATATTTGCCAGGAGAAACAATTTTGAAAAGGACAGATTGGCTTTTGTTGCAAGAAAGTACAGGGACTTGAATCATGGAGGCAAAGTATTGTTTTATTTCTAAGCATCTGTAGACTGATGATTAGTTGATATGCAGTTTCAACATTTAAACAATATTAGGAAACTCATTTTAAAAAGTGATATTTTACTCAAAATGCTGATTATGTCATTGCTACCAGAAATGAGATGATTCAGTCCGGTCAAACATGAAAAGGGAGCTATTGTATATACTACCAGTATTAAAACGGCAGATTGATGATTTCAGTTGTTCTTAGAACACATAATGGTTAGTGCCATATACATGCAACTGTGCCTGTGAGTTCAGGGTATTTACAGGCCCTGGTGGAAAGTAGGAAGATGCCCTATCAGGCATTAAATACTTGATGAGAACCAACTACTTGGCTTCATTGTCGATGCTGTGTGAGATATTAGATAGGATCCCTTTTTCAGGGAAGTGACACAGAGTATAGGTACACCACAGGTTCATAATTTCAGACACTAGTGCACAACAGTGCCCCTGAGACAGTGCCTATTTAGTTCCTCAAGAACCCCAGTAAGGGGCAGGAGCAAGGCCTGCACCAGTAATGTCAGGCTTTCACCCTGACAGTGGAAGAACTTCTTTCTCTCTAAGGGAAAGTAACAAGGAAAGAAGACCCTAAGGTGATATCAGTGCTGCTGTATTTTACTAGGTAATGTTGGCTGGTAGAAGACTTAGTGCTTTCCTTCCTTTTAGAGATTATTCTTGCAACATTTTACTGGAAAGTATTATTTTTCAGTATAGTTCCAAAGACTGACTTCATGTCGTCCTACATTTTTATTGATTTTTTAAAATGAAATAGATATGACAGTGTCTTTTCATTAACTTCTGAGTTGACCAGTGCCCATAATTTCTGTGGAATTGTCTGTCGTTCATGGGAAGACACACCTGTGGGACCAGGACTGTGGCGGGCCTACTGAAAGACTGTCACCTTGCTCCGTCTGCGGCCAGATTGGGCGTGTTCCTTCTTCCATGTCCCGTCCTTCACCGTCATTCTTAAAACAGGCTCCTGCTTAGGTGAAGGTGGTGGCATAGAATTGAAGTAGAAAGTACAAAATGGTTTCTGTTTTGATAACTATCATTCCAAAGGGTGGTGAATTTCGTGGTACACAAAGAAAAATACGTTTCCATAAACAATACAAGTTTTGATTCTAGCATCGGGAAAATCTTTTGGCCTGTCTGCTAGTTTATACCCATATCTTAAAGGGCCCCATAATTGCTATTTTCTTTTTTTAGGGAAAGTTTGGTGACTGCTTTTTAGAAAAGTCTTCTATGAGTTGAGAATGGAAAATTTCCTTAGAGTGTTTTTTTAAAGAAAACCTAGGACGTAAAAATGAGACCCAGTAAACCTGCTGTAGTATGAAGTATAAAAACAGGAGTGAGTTAAAACTACAAATATAAGAGAAGTTTAAAATATTTTTTATGGAACTACTTTTTGGGTGCTGGATGCTAGAGTTTTTATTTTAAATAAAGACATTCCGTTTTCCAGGACATGATTTATACAAGAAAACATATAATGTCCTGTTGAACATAGGCCAAATACATTCCCAGACGCTTTGTTACCCAAACCTTTTGAGGGATTTCTTTATAGATGTTTTTGGCAGAAGTGGTGATTTTAGAGGAAACATATAAGAAATACCAGATGCAGTTTTCTGAATTGCCATAAATGGTTAAAAACATTGTGACGACATAAACATCTGGGTATACTGCACAATGCCAAAATTTTAGTTGAGAAAAAAAGGTTATATCAGTTAGATAAATAATTAAGCCCTTTTCAACTTAATGGTTATATTTTCACATGTGTGTTTTATTAATTCTTATAAGTATAAAGGAAAAAGTAGATTATGTAGAGATGAGAATGTTTTAAATTAATATATTTTGTGTATTTTCCTTCATATGGATGAATAATTCAGAACATAAATCATTTATTTGTTTTGTCCCCTGTTCTGTTCTTCCCAGATTATCTCCTTTCCCAGAGAAAAATCACTCTTTCGTTTATTTATCAACAGTTAATTGTTTGCTGTTGTATACCAAGCACTAAAATAGGCACTAGAGATACAAAGATAGGGGACAAAGGTCCTCCCTTCAGAAGGTTTACAGTCAGGCATGAAGGGGAAGACTGCATTTAATCACATACATTCGCCACATTGTTTAGAAAGGAAGGAGCAATCCATTCTACTTGGTAATGGTGGCATGAAAGGGTAGAAAAGGCTAGTGAAGGGTATACTTGGCCTCACTTGAATGATGAATAGGTATAACTAAGCAGGCCAGGAGCTGGGGAAGAACATTCTGGACTGAGGACGGAATTCATGTGAAACTATGTGATATAATATGGAAACTGGCTGAAGATCTGGTGAACTAGTAATGACCAAAGGAGTGTGGGGGGGTTGGGTATGTTGGTGTGGAGTACTAATGGACAGAGGTGGAAGTGGGTTGCCATGTGAAGAAATACTGTAAGTGCGGGTCACAAACACAAATTGTAAACTGAGGCCCAAACTGTGATATAAAAGAGCAAATAGGACTGAGTAGAGACTATGGTGAATTGGAGAGTTTCTTTTAGGGGGCAGCAAATTCTCAGCTCCTGTCAACTACTGCCATGCAGGAATGTGGGCCCAGT